AGAAACACAATCCCAAAGGGGCTGTCCACTGTTGGAAGCACTCATTTGGTCCAGGCGAACGAGAAACTCTCGCCTCCAATCCGAGGCACAAGAGCTGGTGGATGTCGCCCAGCAACAGGCCTGAGGCTTTTCAGGCCCACACGACTACTTGGGCGTGTCCTACAGTAAGGGAACCCCCCCCCAAAAAAAAAAAAAAACTAAAGAGGGTACCATCGTAAAGAATACAAGGGGTGACCTTAAGGAAATGGAAGCACTGGGGTTGAGGACGCCGATACCCTTCATATGTCCTCAACAAAAGACAAACGCCGCAAAAGGGCCCCTCTCTTCTTGGACTCATCGAATTTACTTGGTTGATTCTCAGGGTGCTTGCATTCGTTGGGACCGGTTGGGACAGAGTTCGCTCATCGTCGAGGCTGGCAGATCTAATCTTACCCTTGATTCTAACACATTACAAGGGGTGAATGCGCTCAAAACAAGTTCGCTTCTTCCCATCCTCCGAAGTTTGCCTCCCAGAACAGCGATGCTTCATGATTGCAATTTCATGCTGCATCCGATTTTGCTGTAATGTGCGACACTTGTTCTTATTTCGGTAATTAAGCCTCAGGGAGGCAGGCGGTCAGGCAGGCGTGCGGCCAGGCAGGCAGACAGAGACAGAGACAGACAAAGACAAAGATAAAGACAAATACAAACAGTCATCCAGGCAGGTCTGCACATATGTAGAGGCACACAATGCATACATGCATAACATGCAGAAACCTTGCAACAGATTCATACCCCGCCTGTGCAAGTGGATGAAGACAGAGACTGAGGCGGCGGAGTCCCCAACAAGGTGACGGAAGACTTCAGTTGACCCCACGGAAACAAACAAAAAAACAGAACCCACTTTGAGGATTTGACGTAAATTGGTAGGCTACCCTTTGGCTGGATTTCTTTTGGGGAAACCAGGGGTGGACCCCTAGGCATTCTTGGGCACCCCTCAAAATGGTGAAAAAACATTGTTCCTCAGCCCCGGGCTGGCATCGGCATCGCCCTGGAGCAAAGAAGGAGCAACGGATCCCGTCTTGGGAATCCGGAGAACCCCAGTCAGAACGCGCTGAGCATGCAGAACCCCTTAGCCCGGCCCAGGGAACCCACAAGTTTGACATTACCATAGTGACCAACCAATCATGGGTTAGTCCTTGAACGATGGTTCCCTTGGCATACTGGAAAGGGAAACAGAATAACTGGGCAAGACGGTGCTGGCTGAGAACGAGAGGTTTGCAAAATGCCCCTTGCATGTGCAGAAGATTTCCTGAAAGGAAATTCAACGACCTGGGGTTCAATCATCGTGTGTTCGGAGTGACCGGCACTGACCTTCTGAAGGGATGGACTTCGATTCAAACGCAGATAAACAAGTTGCAATCCCAAGCCGGCGCCAAGCCATACGCCCAGTCTCGTTTGCACGAGTAGCTAACCAAGCTAAACGTGGCTGGCTGTGTTTGTGTCTTGCTTTCAGCGGTTTCGTTTGCTGCGGCCGTCCATTGCGCGCTCGATTAACTCCTCTGAGATCGCTCCCAACGCGTTTGACGCGGATAACGCTTGTGTTAAAAGTAACAACATGCAGCGCAATATCTAAATTGCTAGTAGCTAGTTCAAACTGAAACAATAGTGAATTGTAAAAGTGATCCATGTCCTTGCATGGTTCTTTCAACTTAAAATCGATGTCCATCACTTGTCCCAAAACCGATACAGTCGTGTCCAAAGGCTTGAAGTTGTTTTACACCTGCGGGCCCTTATTATTCGATCTGGGAACCTCGTTTGACTCTTATTTTTTCAAGGGGTGAAAAGTGGCAGGAAAGATGCCGGAAAGGAACCGTAATTTCGAGTATCATTGGCCAGGGCGCAGGTGCATGGGGGAGGGGAGGGGGTCCATATATACAAATATGTATACATATATATATATATATATCAGGACTACCCCCTGAAATACCCATCTTGTTCAGAATTTAAGTGTATTTGCGGAGTTTTCCGCCTTTGGTTGTGCTTTGGGGAAAGCAGCAAGCAAGGGTGCCGTATTGAAATCTATTCAAACTATAGGTAAAAAATGGAAAGTGACAGGAAGTCCTCCTTGAACTCTACTCACAATCAGACATAGTCTTCCAATGGAAATCCCACTTACACCATGGTTACAACTAGACGGATGGTTCACTGTCTATCTAAATTTCAAGTAGATTTTGTTAAAAAAAAAAAAAAAAAAAAAAAAACTCAATCCTAGAAAAAGCGACCCCCTATAGAATCTTAAAAACGCACGCCTACCTGAATTAACGTTAAAACTAGGAACTCTACTAGAAGTGTTTCCTTATTAAGTTCTACTTAAAATCTGACCAAAAAACAAAAATACAAAAAGGGAAAACCATCGAATTTCAAACAAGACGTTCAACTGCAAATCTTTGTTGAAAAGGCAAATTGTTTCTCTGTAAACTGGAAATTACACTAGGATTATTCCGATATTACATTGAAAAGAAGTAAAGGATACCGCCTTCAAAGTCTAGCCGTTGTTGTGTTGCCTTGGGGAAAGCAGCAAAAAAGGGAGTATGTCCAAAGACAATCTGGAAGCTTCAGGCTCCAATTTTTCCAGGGAATCTTGAACCCAGGACCGAATCAAACTTCAGTCGGTTTGGATCTAAACCCTTTAAACCGTATAAACCCTTTCTTAGAGGAAAGGTTTTTCAAAGGGTCAGGGCCAACAACTGTTTGAACCGTTCAAACGATTTCAACCCTTTCTCAGAGGAAAGACCCCGTCAAGGCCCAAAATCGCTTGAACCGCTTTAACCGTTCCGCTCAAGGCCCAAAATCCATTAAACCACTTGAACTGTTTAAACAGATCAGACCCTAAGGTTCAAGGGCCCAACACCGAAGCAATCGTTTAAACTGTTTAAACCCTATCTCAAAGGAAAGCCCCTCCCCAGGGTTCTACCAGAGCGAGAGAGCGTTCAAACGGTTCACACGAATTAAACGGTTTAAAAGGTGTTGGGCCCAAACCTCTCCTCTGGGAAAGCCTTTCCTCTCAGAAAGGGCTTAAACGGGTGAAACGGTTCAAACGGTGTAAACCTTTTGTAGGCCCAAACCTTTCCTCTGAGAAAGGGTTCAAACGGTTTAAACGGTTGAGTTGGAGTGTCTTTCCCTTTTGCAGAGTCAGATGCAGTGTGCATCACAAATGAAGACAAATGAACACATGGACATTTGGGTGTATATATATATATATATGTATGTGTGTTAATGCGTTTACATATTATATATATAAGTGCCTGACTTGTTGTTGCCTAGCATCTCTAGCAAAGATTGACGGCCATCGCCAGCAACCTTCAAACGTTTTGGCCCAAGCACATTCGAATGTTTGGATTTTAATGGTGGTTCAAAAAAAACAAGCTGCAAGACACTTCGACGGTACAGCTCAACTTGGTCCAGCACGACGGAAATTATTCAGCAGCTATCTTTGACTATGGCTAAATTCTGTCCAGAATGCTGAAAGTGGCTCGAAGTCCTGAATGGCCGAATTGGATGGAGCCAAGCCAAACCATCCGCAAACTGCTTGGAGCTCCAGCCTGTTCGTCCAGCTCGTGCGCACGCTGCAAAAGGGTCCTGAGAGTCGGAACGTCGCGAAGGAGAGCAGGAGAGCTGCACCCCAAAAAGTTGAGACCCCTCCACCACACATTAATTGTTGGTCTCAGAGCTACCTGACATGGGTTGTTGTCTCATAGGCGAATCCAACGGGAAAAGAGTTGTGGTTTTCCTTTGGTATTTCCCCTTTACACCAACTTCAAAAGGCGAATCCGCAAAAAACGACAACACATGGGTGCAAAATGAAAAACCAAGCCACAAGCATCAAGAGAACCCACATGGCAACCGGGATTCGAAGGGAACCCATTAGCGGTCTCCAGACATGGGCTTGTGTCAAAATCGGGACATGTTCCAAAACTCCCCAAAGGTGGTGCTCCGAACCCTTCCACATTTGGTTTCAAGTCCTTGACAAGACTGCCAAGATGGCGGCTGTCCTTTTGGCCTCCCAAAAACAGCATGCTGTTCGCTAGAAGGGCACCGAGCCTGAAAACAAATAACATACCCATCACGAGGAGTGGGCTCCCCGGTTCCAAATCTATTGCCAGGCCAAAAGTGAGCGCCCAAACCTTAGAAACCCCTCACATGGCCGGCGACAGTCTTTTAGGCGATGCGGCGAGAAGTGAAGGATCTTCAGATCCTCTGCTTCTTTGCTGATTGCTTCAGACTCGGGAACATCCCATGATTCGTGTTTGGCCCAGTTCTAGAATGTATACTTTGATTTTGCTGTTTGTTTCACTTTGAGGCACTGGTAAATGCAAAGTCTGTCCTGAGTCTACACCTGGTTGGTTGGTTTCTAAATGTTCCGATGAATCCACCCCTCCTCTGAGCCTCCGCACGGAAGATCCAGCGGGGCCTGGAACACGCTCAAGTTGCTGCAGATCTCGCCAGCGGGTTCCACGGGCGAGTCGTTTGGGCCCGTTGGGGCGCTGTGCTCTTCAAGCGGCAAAATCCGGAAGATTGTTGGACGCTCTCGTATAACTTGGTTCTCTGATTAGCCTTTGGAACAGGTGTAGCCCGCCAGTGAATAATTTGCCCTTGACCATGGCATTGTCCACAAGAGGCAACGGGTCCCGTGCGCCTTCAGACTTCGAACTAACATGCGTGACCTTCTTGATCACAGGGGTCCCAGAGACATAATCCATGTACTTCAAAAGAGCGCTAAAAAAGATGCTTTCCTGTTGGATTCCCTGTCGATTCCTTCAAATACTGCGCGCCAGACCACACGGGCGTCTCTAAATAGGGACCCTGCAAAATCATGTCTCTCCCTGCGCTTCCCTCTCAAATACGAACACAAAACCAAACAAAAGGGGTACCCTCGAAAACAGGACGGCCGCATTTCCCTTGCGGAGAACCTCCAAGCTTGTGTCATTCGCTTGGCTATTTGGGTCCCCCACCGTGTCTCACATCTCTTCCCGGCCCATCCGCAGCAAAGTGCGAAGGCCTGAGCCAGCGCGGACCGCAGCTGCACGTGGCCCCCCAGCCTTGCTTCGGGCCGGACACAGCAAAAGCACGCCGCCGGGGCAAACAAAGGTGTTGGGTGTTGTTGGAGGGAACCCTTTTTTGGGCTGGGTTAAAAAGACACTAGGGGAATAGAGGAATGGGGTTCGCCTATTTAGAGATGTTTCCCTTGGATTGGGCTGCTGTTTCTCATGGAATCGCATTCTGGGTGTGTCTTAAAATTGTTGGAACCAACACCCCTCATCCTCCCCTCATCCTGGATGGCGCTTCGGTCTCGTCGACCATTTCATTGTAAGAGGCAGCATTCAAAAGTTATGAGGGTTGCAAGATCCTCGGACTCTCGGACACTTAACCTGAGGATCCTGGAAATTGTTCAAGCTGCGACATGCTGTGTGAGCCTCCCTTGTGGGATATGCGTCCAGTGGGGTTCGTTTTGACACCTCAAGTCCTCGGAAAAGTTGGCCTCTGCTTTTCAACTTTGGATGACAGTGAGAAAAAGAAGCCATCTGTTCAACCGGGCCGTAAGTATCACCCCACCCAAAAGACTCGAGCAAAGTTGGCAACTAAAAAGGTGATGTTTGAACAACTTGGGCGGCTCAAAAAAACATCCATTCTGCCCAGGATGAAACTTCCAGGGGCCTCTGCCCCCCTCAAACCCTTGGGCCCAACTTTTTCCCAGCCGCTTCGACCGATGGGTCGAGGTCCGCGCGTGATGCGGTAGCTCTCCCGCAGGAGGTTCCGGGCCTCCTTCAGCATCCGCTGCCTCGGGCCCTGGCAGCCAAAACCCAAGGCACTGCCTCTATGCATTTCATTGTCAACTTTCCCTGCGCATGCATCTGTGCACTTCACTCTGTCTACCTTCTCTGTGCGTTGCGCGTGCCTCTATGCATTTCACTGTCTACTTTCCCTCTGCAGTTGAGCTGTGCAGAACGCAACGACATTGCCGGAAGAACCTTTCAATAAAAAATGAAACCACAAGGGAATCAACCATGTAGCAGATTCCCAAATTTTGAGACACACACCGCTCGCCAGTGCTGCCAGAGTGCCGGGCCGCATGCTCGCCAGTGTGCACGTTTACTATGTGCCTTCATTTGTCTCCCTGTGCTGCCACGCCAGTTGCTGAAGCCTCTCCATGCCAAGCACCGTGAAGGCCCAAGGCACAAACCAGAAGAGCCGGCCATGTTGTTTGCAGATTGATGTATGGATGTTTGGATGGATGGATTGCTAGATTTGACCACGCACCCCCCCCCCACCCCCCACCCACCCCACCCACCCACCACCCACCCACCACCCTGCCCCAACCCCAACCCCACCCCCATCCACCCCCACCCCCTTTGATGCCCTACCAGCCCCGAAACCCCTCTCTAAACTAAACAAATTAAATCAATTTAGGTCAAATATTGCTGACCCTCACTCCTCCAAAAGTTCCAAAAGTTCCAAAAGCGGTGGCACTTTCACGGAGGCGCCTCGCAAAAGCTCTGATGCTCCTGGAGGCTGCCACAGACCTGAAGGCGCAAGACGGAAGTCGGAGGTTCGCTTTTTTCGCGGCACACATCTACCTTTTTTTGGAGTTGTAGTTGTTCAAAAGGTTTCTTTGGTTTTTGTTTTTAGACAAACACTTTGAGTACTTCCCGATTTGAAAAGCACCCGTCGCTGTCCATGTGAGACTTCGGAGCTCCCGTTGCCTGGTTGCACTCTGAATTTCAAGGGGCAGCCCTCACACCACACCCCACATCAAGAAATCCGTGGCACGGGGCTGCATCAAAGCCAAAAAAACGATTGAGACTATGTCAAAAAGGAGAGGTTTGGGCGTGTGTTGAAACAGGCCCAAATCCTGCCAACCCAAATCACTAGTTGGCAGTCGGCATGTGTTGTTTCTTCTCATCGGAAAACGAAACAGCTGAGCGCTGAGTCACAAGCTATGCCAGATCATTGAACAACGATCCAGGATCTCTGCTGTCCCAGTTGCCTCCGGGCCTATCCTTTTGGGCTCCGGACCTGTCCTGGAAATGACAAGGGTCCCATCAGCCCTCCAATTGGCGGGTTGGCTTTTTCTTACCGAAGAACCAGGCGGTCACATCCCCAACTATGGATACCCGACATGATGTATGCTTCACCAGACCCAACCCCTAAAAAAAGAAACAAACACTGAACAAATCCCACATGTCGCCCTACCTTGAGCATGGAACCAAGCTGAGGAAGGAAGAACACAAACACACACACACACACACACACACACACACACACACACACACACACACACACACACACACACACACACACACACACACACACACACACACACATGCGACCGGCAAGTGGGATGTTTTACCCGCCCAACGTGGCTACGTTGGAACAAGTAAACCGCCCTGAAGGATGTGCGCGTGCTCCTTTGGCCAAGCTGAGGTGCCTCGCATCATAGCGGGCTTACCGTACTTTTCTGCACTCGTGGAAGCTAGCAGGGAGGTTCCGAAAGACCGCCGTTTGCGCATGGCCCATATCCATGTCCAAGCTGAAAGGAGGCAGGGGCCATGAGTAGTGGAAATCCACGAAGGAGACTGGGTGTGTCTTTTTTTGCAGCTAGCCTTGGGTTAGCTTGGGAAACCAACGGGAAACCGATCTTGGGGGCTCTCCGACTCTAAGGAAAACCTACATATATATATATATATATTGATCGAAGGCAGAAGTGCCAACCCATGGCCAAACAGGCTTCCTGCTCCCTCCAGACCTGGTCGAAGATCTCCGCGGCGTAACTGCGGCCCACCTGCAGCGCCACCTGCACCTGGCGATGCGGAAAACCTTTTGCAGGTGTCGACTCTCAGGGGAAAATAAGAAAATAGAGATGTCGCTTTGGTTGAGTTTCGGATGGATTTCCCTGGTAGATTGTGAGTTACAACCAAACCAGGAATCGCCATCATGTTCTACCACAGCAACCAAAAAGGACACCTATGGTCATGGTGGTTCCCTTAAGATACTTGGTTTAAAGCCCAGGGCACAATCTCTGCCAAGCCCAAGAAAAGGAAACGTTTGATCGCACGCACGGGTGTTTCTCCAAAGGTCCCCTTTTTGGATGGTTTCCCATGAACCAAAGGGAAAGCCCACCTGTTTTGGGGGTGCCCTGGTTTGACACATACTCATATTTCCTCTTTGAACGGAAACTCGTGTTTTTGTTGGCATTCCGTAAGGCGGTGATTCCAAGTAAAAGGACACATGGATTTGTGCTCTTGAGGGCACTTATCTTTGCTTGGTTTTGATTTGGGAAACCAAGACGAAACCACATTTTGGGTGGTCCAACCTTAAAGGATCAGCTACCCATATACCCATATAGGGAACACGCTCAAGCGGCGCTGTTTTTGGGGGCAAGCTTTTGACAGGTGCCTCGTGCCCGGTGCAACCGCGAAAAAGCCAAGTGCCACGTGGCTCATTGGTTTACCCTCAATAAAAGGTGGCGGCTTGAAACGGTTGGAATTCACCAAACTGAATTTCCCTTGAGAGACATGCAACCATGCCCAAGTGAACTGTTGGGCACTCTGTGGAGGGACTTACCCATAGGTCGCTGGGTAACTCAATGTCTGGTCATCCTAGCAAAACCCCATCAACCTCCTTTCGGCTTTCCTGGGTGGCCATTGAGGGTTGTGAGGAAACTCACTAGGCAGTACAGCCACACGCATGCGCCCAGGTGCAACAGTGACCTGGGACTCAATGTCCCAGGTCTTGGGCCCCTGGAGATGGACAATATCCGCTTACCAGTTGGACTTCGGTGCTGGTATCCCAGGTTTCAAAGGGTTCATCCATTTAACTGGCGCAACAAAAACATGTTAGTCATCCACAGAAATTCACTCTTGGTCCCCTACAACGGCTGGCTTCCCTTTCAATTCTCAATACCAAGAAGGCGTCCACCATTTTGGGCTTACCCCCATTCGTGCTCTGGTTTCCCCCGATTTGGGGTCCCGTGCCCGGCCCCAAGACCACTCAACTACTCCACCAGTGCGGGCCGAGTTCTTCGCCTCCAGCCCGGAGGCCACGGACTTCTGCAGCTCTTTCCAGGGGTCCGAGTCCTTGCCGAAGGGAGCCTTCCGGTGACCCGGTGACCCGGTGAACCCATCGAAGCGAAGCGAGAAGTGGCCCGGGAGAAAAAATGGGCGCGGAAGGAAATGGGTTTCGACCAAAACGATTGGGGACACTCTGTCTATGCTTGGAAAAGAAACCGAAAGAAAACCGACCTGGTGGGGTCCTTACTTTCGAGAAGCACCCAGAAAAAACAAAGGCGGGAGTGAGGTCTTTGGTTTGATATTTAAGTCGACTGAGAAATGGCACTTCAGTGTTCCCTCCTTGCATCAGCCATTTCTGGCTGCAACCATGCAACTGACTTGCCACGGCCAGTTTAGACGGGTCACTCCATGAGAGATGGTCATGGGGTCTTACTTGAGAAGCCTCCTGCTGTAATGAATTAAGGGATGGGGACACGTGTGAAGGGCCCCCCAATTTCGACATGCTCCCCCGATGACCTGTCTATCTGATGACAAATGTTGGTGGACCAGAGTCCATTGGTGGACGTCAAGAACACATTGGGATTTATGCAACCGTAAATCCATTGTTCAACACCGACCACTTCGAGAAGGCTCGCATCGCTGAAGGCCAAGGGCGGCACATCCTGCCAGCCGCTGCCGAAGCTCGCGGTCGCATAGTCCCCCAGAACGACCTGATGCTGGCGCGTGGGCGCTCAACCGCACCCTGCATGGGCTTTTGTGCTCTTTTGGATGCCCGAGTTGCTGCTGCTGCTGCTGCTGATCTGGGGACACCGCTCATTCTTGGGTGCCCCGTATTTTGACAACCCACATCGAAGAGCAGACCCCAGCTTGGAAAACGCGTGCTGGACACCCGAAGGCGCCGGGCCGCCGGGCCACTCGGAGGGACTCCATGCCTGGGCAACAGATTGGCGGTGCACGCCACTCGGAGGAACTCCCCAGGCGAAGGCATGTGGCCAGCGATGAAGCGCCCGTCTCGAAATAGAGTGCTGGCCCAAGTGGGCCTTCTGATGGCCGCGCGTTTGAGAAAGCTTTCAGCCGAATTGAAGAATCGAACAGGCTGCCCATGGCATCACTCCATCATAAAACAAGGCGAGCTGGTGGATGGCTCGACTCTGCGTCCGGTGTCTGCGAAGGGGCACCATCAGATCCAGTTGGATCGAAATTGCATGACCTCCTCGAACACGTCAAAAAGGCCTTTGAGCCTAAGCAAGCCACCTCCATTCAACCCCCCAAGTCCAAATCCAACCGATGAAAAACTGCCGGAGAAAACCAGAAAATCTGGGAGGCTCCGGGCCCGAAGGCCGGCGCGGCAGGCTTCTAACAGCGGAATTCCACGAGCGTGACAACCGCGGATTTCATGGAAAAAGGAGGATGCAGCTCGTCCAGGTATCGGTTCCCGTCATGAGTACCTTGTACTTGGGAAAACGAAAATAGGCCTAAAACATCCTAAACCCTTGTTTCCCCCAGTGCGGCCTTCAAACAGCATCCCTCCGTCCCTCCACATCCCCCTGCCCGAGGCCGCGGCGTGTGGGGAGGGTGCGGAAGCGCAGGGGGCTGCGCATCTCTGCCTGGACAGAGGGTGGCAAAGGGGGCGGGAGATCCCGAAATCAAGTGAAATCTACATGGGTGTATTTGCATATATATATATACTTATTTATTTGGACACATGTATGAATGAGTATGTGTGTATGTACATATGATTGAATGTATATTTGTTTGTTTTTTGGGGAATACTTTTGGTTGGTTTTAAAGGGACACCAACAGGAGACCAACCACGAGAGGGCTTTGTTTGCTCCTCACATAGCTCATGAGGAAATCCTTGAAAACATCCCGCAAAAGTGGCATTCGACGTGGCCAACCTGCATCTTGGTGAATGAGCTGGCCAATCAGAATGCAGTGTTTCATGCTAGTCCTACCTTCCTGGGTCGTTTGTGACGTACGTAGCTTGCTTCTCACAAGCAAACAACTCCGAAAGCGGCCAGCTAGATATATGTGTCTGCTTGCTGAAGAGATGACTCCTGAAACTGATGTCCTTCTGAGGCGAAGCAGATCATTGTCGCCAAAATAAACACGTCCTGCCCTGCCTCCCACGTCATGATGCACCCAGTGCACGAAAATGTTGCGCTAGATGCCAATCTAGTTGCAACATACGCAACAAATGTCAGAACAAGCTAATATCCATCAACCCCTTCAGAGAAAAGTGCCTCGATACTATGGTGGATGGACGAAATCCTGTACCACTGCGAAACCATGGCTTCAGGTGGTTGTTGGTCTTTACAGGGGAATCATCATTCCAGGCATTCTTAGGTGGTCACAGTACCACACTAGATTGATCAGCCCGCCCTCATTGATCTTGAACCAGCCTCGGGAATGTTGCTGATGAAGACCATGTACCTGTCGGGTTGTTCCGTCCCGTTTAGCGGTTCTAAATAAACGAGTCCCCTTAGATGGCTGGGTCCGGGCACCCGTCAAAATCCACACATGGTTAAACATAGCTTGGGCAGTCACTTCAACGTGGCTCTCTCTGAAACATAGTTACGTTTCACGTGGGGGGAAAGGATGCGAGAAACACGCAACCGCTAGACGCTAAGACGAAGAGCCCCACTGCAGTGGGTGATAGCGTTGCCTGCCCCATGCACCCTCCAACACGGCCCCAACTTCGCGGAAGGGTGGGGCTAGTCGCAAAAAAAAAAAATGATGGAAAAAGGGCTTCCCCAACCCAACTGTTCTTGTTGCTTGTAGATCGTCCCCAAGCAGTAGGTGGCAACACCCGGACAAAGCGCTCTTAGCCAACCGACTTGCTATTGTTCACAGCCTACGTGGCTGTGGCTTTGAATCTTAAGCCCATTGAAAGACCTGCTCGTTTTACCAGGCAGATCCATGGGTGAGTCAGTTCGTCATGCGGGGCCCTTTGGCTGGACGCCCTCAAAATGCTGGGGCCCGGCCAACCGCTGGGCTCCATCTCTTCAATTTCACCCCATCTCCATGCGGGTCTTCCCCCGGCACGGGGTGTCCGGCTTCAGGTTCTGGAGCTGGAAGGTGACCGGCAGCCCGGGGCGCAGCCTTGAGACACATGTGGCTCTGGCATGGAAAAACGCTTCAGGACCAGGACAGAAAGGCATATTGATTTTAAAAAAAGAGTGACAAGTGGGTGGCACTTATCAGGGACAACTGCAACAGACACCAACACCCAGCAAAAAGAACAAACGTAAAGCAACAGCTTGCATGCAAAACCAATCAGGTCAAAGCAACAACATCCGAAGCAAATGGATTTTAAGGCAAGGGTACTTGTGAGCAGCCAAAACATGAACCGCCCAAACAAAATCGACTGAAGTTCAGTCGAACCTTGGCCTGCGACAATACTCGGGGGCAAGAAAGAGCGAACGTGAGCAAAACGACAGACGATCGCCAACAAACTGGAGAGTAGCGGAACATGTCAATTTGTTTTGTAAGAAACAAGCCATAGAACCATCACCAGGAAAATAGTTCAAACTCCCATTTTTTCTGCTTGGCCTCTCCTATCAGCTACGCAAACTGTCCAAGCGTCCTCTGCTTACCAGTTGTTTTAGTTTCTTCGTTTCAAAGCAAAAAAGATTTGATGCCTGTTGCTGGCTCCAAGTTTTGAATTAGTTGCGTCACCCAAAAAAAACGAGGTGAAAACCGTGGCGTACCCCTGCATTCCACCCCGTGCCTCTGGGCAGTGCACACCGCCGACCGGGCCGAGAAGTAGGTCCGGTCCAGCCTTTGCGGTCCGATGCGAGGTCAGATGGATCGTGTCTCTCTCCAGGAGCGCCCCTTGTCTTGCCTTGTTTCAGGTGTTTCACGGGAGACCAAAAGGAACACCAAAATTTCTGGGGTCCCCAAACAAGTCGCGCCTTGGATTGGGGTCCAAAAATCAGGCGGCATCTCTGGGGGATTCCCAAAGGGCAGCCCTAGAGATACCGCTGAGAAAAGTAGGCACAAACTCAAACCGACACCAGGCGCCTGCAATTTCCGACAGGGCTGCTATGCCTGACCCTCCTATTTACCAAGCTACATTAAGGGATGCCTCTTTGGGGCCTTGGGGTGGGTTATTGCCCCAGGCAAGCGTGTGATCATTTGTGGCTAGCGGCTCTGCACCAAGAACACACCAGAGAGACCTTTCGGGAAATGGAGATCTGCACCCTAACCTGAAATTAGTTAATCGAAAAGGGAACACACTCAGCGGGGTGCTTAGAGACAAATCAGGCTGCGACCAGGTGGAAGGTTAGTGGCCAGAACGGGCTTGAAGGGGAAACCCGAGGTAGAAAAGGGTCGATGATTTGCGCACAATTTGTGGCACTGAAGTAGGCAAGGTGTGGAGATGTGGAGATAGTCAACTGTTACGCGCGCACCCAAAGCAGAAACAGGGCGTGGAGTCGGCCCACTTTTGAGACCTTGTTTCGGGACATGTCATACACCCATGGGCGCCGGGTCGAAAGAATCGGAGCTCGATTTCAGCACCAAAGTCACTCTTTTGACATCTTCTTGGAGCATTGGAGTCTGCGTGCTAGAACGTGCGGAAATCGGGCAGGATTAGGGCAGTTTTCGTGCGGAAGGATAGGTAGGGCGGCAGGGTTGGTTGAGCCGGGTATCGGAGGTGTGGATGTGTTCCACGATGTCCGCATCACGTTTCGGGCACTTGCGCCGGCCATGCAAGTAGCGAAGTATCCCTAAGCGCGGCCTCAAGGGCAAAATAGACTCGAGGAGGATGAGCCCCCGGCCCCCTTTTTTGTGCATGCTTCTCCCCAGTTAGTTTTCCGGATGTTGAGGGCTAGGGTAGGCTTTGTGTGTGTGTGTGTTTAGGGTTGGGTTGCAGTGAGTTTGGGGCGGGCTTATGGGTGTTGAGGGTCGGGTTTAGGCTGGGTCTAGTGGGTTTAGGCTGGTTTTAGGGCAGGCTTAGATGGGTTTACTAGGGCGGGTTGTTTAGGTGTGTTTAGTGTGGCTTTGGGGTGGTTCTTATTTATGATGGGCTTGGGGGTGGGCTGAGGTTGGCGTCAGGTAGGTTTAAGGTTGGTAAGGGGGCTTATACTTGATTGAATGTGTTTAGGGTGAGTTTAGGAGCAGCCTTAAAACGCAGGATCGAAACAGGACTCTCACCCTTTCTTGGGGGCAAGGTTCACAGAGAAGAGCAGAGCGAAAAACAGAGCGAAGAAAAGGGAAAGCAGCGAAAAGAGAGCAAAGAGTGGAGATAAAAGGGACGAGAAGAGCGTCCGAATAAGAGTGGAGAGAAGACCAAAGCGGTGAACCAGGCATCAAGCCTGCAAAGGGGGGGTCGGTCAGAAACATCAAGGGTTTGCAACTGACACAAGCATTGTTCACGCAAGGAAGTACAGCCAAGGCAGCAAACTAAGTGCTACTTTCGTGTTGCCAAACTCAAAACGTGGGAATCATCACCCCTTCCCTTTTCGTGTAAAGAAACAATCGCTAAGCCCCGAAAAACCTCCAGTTGGGGAAGGCTTGACACCTCTCTCCGGGATCCCCGGCTCTAGGGAGATCAGCGACGGTTGCTCTGGAAGATCCTGCGAAGGGATGCAGGCTGGGGGGGGGCCGAGGTGAAGATGCTTAAGGGGTATAGCCCTTCCCATCATGCGCTGAGTTGAATGGACGCTGGCAGAATGCTTGCTCATCGTCACGTACCGACTGCAAACAGGCCACTCGCAACCAGGATGCCAACGCGCAACAAATGGCCCTTGGGGGTCTTCGTTGCAGGCAAGGTCGCAATGTCAGTCTCTCAAGGAAGTTTTTGCCATTGACTATCTGAAAGAACCTGTTCTAGTCGGCCATTGATCATCTTTGACACAAATAGATGTATGGTCATCAGCCATTTCAAACGTCCACCTACCATCACACATTTGAAACGCTAAGAAAGCCAGACCTTTTGGGGGCCCACGAAACATCACAGGTCCCGGAGTCCCCCGCCTGCCCTAAGAGCACCATCTGCCGGTCGAAGCGGTCCTTGTGGCCGTTCACCTCACGAGCCCCGGCTCCCACCTCTTATCCGAATAATCAGTAACCCCAGTTGAAAACTCCCTCAAGTGTGTTGTATACTGTAGGGTGACTCCTGGAGGACTTGACACAGGGTGTTAACCTTGACCGCTTGCCAAATGGGCTGGTTATCCAATGGGAGGCGCCAGGAAGGCCACTGGATCAAAGAAATGGCTACAGGTCGGTTTCTGCGATCATGCTGATGCGACAAACCTCTTGTTGATTTGGATGGGGCCCTACTCTGCCAGATTGAAAGTCCGGGAACAACATTCCCGATTCGCTGGGGGTCGCATCCTCACTCCTCGTCACGTTCACTGGGATTACCTGTGTCACAGAAACTTGGATTCCCAAAACAAATCATTTCTGCCCCCCCCCCCCGTCCCCGCAGTATCTCTCACATACGCTCGTTGGCCGCTAAAGTCAGTTCATAGATCATCCCGAATCACAGCCTCTTTTGGACCGTATAGAAGCCAACTGTAATACGGTGTTCCTGTAAAACGGTACCTCACTAAAGAAAGCAACAGCTCCACGATGTGACAGGCAGACAAGTTGGTCACAGCGCAAGACAAGTTGGAACTCTATGATCGAGCATTCAAATGGTGTCACAAAGGCAAGGTAGTTTGGGCGTGAGGCAAGACACGGGAGTGCCTCCCACAGTCTTTCAGCGAAATTCGGAACGGGGTCTCCTCAGCTTGGCATTCAAGTCATTGTTGCTCTTTGGCAAATCGTGTTTCCTATGTGGGCGTATCCCGCCATACTGGCCTGAGCAATGCTGATGTTTACATCGATCTCGTCGTTGACCTGGCTCGCTCACTCTCTCTCTCTCCCTCTTTCCCAGAGAGGTTACAATAACCCTCACACGTGGCATGGCGGACAAATGCATTCTTTGTGTCCACCATTGCCTTGTCCCTCCATGCTATCTTGGAAGCTGCCAAGAGAGAGACAGAGACGGAGACGGAGACAGAGACAGACAAAGACAGAGACGAGACAGAGACAGGGACAGAGAAAGGGACAGAGACAGGGACAGAGACAGAGACAGAAAGAGCGAGAGAGAAAAGAAAGAAAACGAAAGGGGGGAGAGAGGGAGCAGTTCGTAGGCGATCACTTCCCATCGAAGCCAAATCGATACAGATTGACCCACTTGAAGGGAGAGCTAGTCTGATCATTCAACAAGTGTCCCAGAAGAACCACAGGGGTCCACCATAGGAGCCCAGCACTTTGGGACCATGGAGTTGTGCAACCCGCGGCTTGCCTGAGTCCGCTGGCGCCGTTTTGTCCAACCTCTCGACTTCGAAAACCCACGGCCTCCAAGAGGAAGGATGCCGTGGTGTCGGTCACACGGCCGATGACGGGGCCTAAGGCAGAAGGATCAGATTTCCCACGCGTCACGCACCCGGCGGGACTCTCCCGATTCAATGATTCAGCTAGAACTCACAAGGCGAATTGGCATGAAGTTTAAATAGCGAGCTTTGGCGGACACAATTGGCGCCTGTCGTGATATGAGAAACACGTGGGGAAACACATTGGAAAACACTGGAAGCCATGCGGAACAGCATGGGTGCAAACATGAGACACCATGCGAAACCATGGGGAAATGGAACAATTGTAAAAACACAGCGACGACGCCCGTACGTCCAAGCCACCCCCCCGTAGCCGTGAACTTGAGCATCGCAAGCTGAAATAAACTTGCATGGCCGGATTGTGATGGCGTGTATGGAAGTCACAACGGCGGCCCCATCGAAAAGTGGGTGGCGTGTTTTTCGCCTTGCAAGACTGCAATTTCTACAGCGTCCTGAATCTGCACGAACTTTTCAGACTCATAAGCGTGTAGAGGCTTAGGGCTTTGCGCGCCAAGTGCCCAACGGATCAGCCGCGCGAAGACAAACTGCACAGGTTCCTGAAGCTCCTGTTTGATGAGGTTTAGGAACTCAGGGGCCAAGTCTGAATTCAACACCCCTTGCTCCCCAGCCACGCAAATACAAACTGCGCGACCTCTTCAAGCTCAAGCTTGCTGAGGTTGGGAGCGGTGCTTTCTTGCGACAGGACTAACTGACGGACCAAGTCTCTACTGGCACGCTCTTGTCTCCACGGCCACGCAAACAATAACTGCACGAATCTGACAAGCTGGGCAGCAAATGGGCGGTCCACTCGTAACATTCGACCACAGAAACACGAGTAGCGGAGCGGAAAATCGCAGCCACATAAATTTAGAGAAACAAAAAGAAAAAAAGAAGAAGAAAAAAAAAAGAACGATAATACGGAACAAAAAGGTAAGCCACCGACTGGCCAAATGGTCCATGCGTCATGCGTTCATGCCAAGGTCATAATTCCCGTCAAACAAACATGGCACAACAACGTTCTCGTCAGAGCGCGCACCTCCAGAATAACCGTGAGTGGCGCAGAAATTTTGACGCTCTCATCGGAGCGCACACCTCCAGACCGCCCAATTGCCCCATGCTACAAGAATGTTCATGTTCGCATGAGAGTGCACGCCTCCAGACGGAGAAAACTTGATGTTCCGTCAGACGCACACCTCAGCATGCCTGCCTCCAGATCAGAGCGCGCACCTCGATACCCACCAGTCCGTGGTGCAAATGTGTTCGTGCGGTCGGCAGCGCGCGGAGCGAAATAGCATGAACGCCTGTCCCGAACGAACCTATATTTGCAGGGGAAAACGGTGTAATTAGTGTGTAGCAAAAGTGCCAAAAACCCAGGGTCCCATACAGGCGTCAGCACCCAACACATTTGGAAAACCGTGAGCAAACAGGGGGAAAACATGGGAACGGGGCACGCCCCAATCCACATCCACCAGGCCTTTATTCGCCGGCAAGACACACATCCTGCTGGATCCCGCTTTTTTACGACCTGAATTCTGGGGCCCCTTCTGAGCCCAAAACAAAAACCGCGCAAAGCGCGGAGCCAGCTGCCAACAGCCTCTACGTGTCTGGGAGGTGCCCGCCCCAGGTCGCTGGCTCTTCAACAAGAAAAAACCGAGGTTGATTCCCCTTTCACCCCAAACCAGGTAGACATCCCGGCGCTTTCCTTTTCGCAGATCAGTCCGCATGCAGCTCACTCAGAGAAATCCCGGGCACACCGCGCACCGCACGCGGTCGACCCATGGCCACCTTGATGGCCCTCCTACAAAGCCGGACTCTTCACACCGCGCGCCTGAGCGCCTCCTGTTTGGAATCGGGCCATGTGGCGCTGCGCGGCAAATCTGCCAAAGACAAAAAGAAAACGAGGATTTCCCCAGTTCAAATCCAAGCTGCAAAAAGGGGTACCCTGGTTAGAAACGCCAACAGGACACTTCAAGAAGCTGAAAAGGTCGTGTTACGGCGCAGGTCGCGGAGAATCTGCGGCCAGGGGCCTCCTGATTTGGAGACCCAGGTAGTGTGGCCCAAATGGTTTCGAACAAACTGGATCTAGGACACTACATATGTTATTGTCATGTGACGCAAGCTGGAACTTGCCAGAAACCATAAATGGGCCACCTGAACGAATTCTGCGATATTCTGTTTACAAGCTGCTTGGTTTTGGGGCATGTTTTGTTACTTGCTGGTCCCAAAGCCTCCAAGCGACAATGTGGATGGAGTCGCCGCGTCCGTCAGGCTCTCCGTCAGTCAGTCGCAACAAGTCAGCCTGCAAACCCGCAAGCAGAAAAATGATTCCAGGATCTTTCAACTCTCGACGATTCCTTGTATCGGTCGCAATCCAGTAACCCGTTTAGACAACTATAGCATTGGTGCCATGAAGTCTGAAACACCTGCGTGAACACTTCAAAGCACAATGTACACACTTTTGAATCAGTCCCGCTCGTCTTTCATGCAGGTTGTACCTCGGCTAACCTCTAACCCTATACCAGAGGTACCTGACGTACGGAGGTACCTGACGCGCGGTATGGTGGTTTCCTCGCCGGCGGGGTGGGGGGGGGCTGGGGTCAGCTAGTTAGTTAGTTGGTTAGTTAGTTAGTTGTTTTTTTGTTTGTTTAGTTTGCTAGTTAGTCAGTCAGTAAGTCAGATAGCCAGTTGGTCAGTTAGAAGTCACTTAACAAGTTACTGAGTTGTTTGAGGGATCGAGATAGATAGTTCCTGACGCGCAGGGTGGAGGGGTGGTGAGTAGTTAGTAAGTCAGCTAGTGTTTGATGCGCGGTACGGTCGTGTCCTTGAGAGGCTGGGGTCGCATAGTTAGTTTAGTTAGTTAGTTAGCTTGGTTGCCTAGTTTGCCAGTCAGTCAGTTAGTCAGTCAGTCAGTCAGTCAGTTTGTAGTCGCTTAGTTATTCGGAGAAAAAAACCTGACGCGTGGGGGTGGGATAGTATCTGAGGCGCGGGACGCGTGGGGGTGAGCTAGTTCGTGCAGAAGATTCGCCTGACGCACGGCAGAGGTGATAGTACTTGACGCGCGGGATCGGGGTAGGAGGCCCCTACTTTGCACATTTAGTTAGCAAACTGCTGCAATACGAAAAGTGGAGCTACCCACATGCGAAACACGCGAAAGATAGCCTTGTTTTGTGGTTCGCCACGGTCTCGCCGCGGTCTCGCCACGGGTTCGGAAAGTCAATGGCACGGCCACACAAGGTTTTCGCTAGCTTTGAATTGCGTGGCAGGCGCAGCACTTTGGCTGGCGCAGCATTTTGGTCTCATGGGCATCAGAGTTCGTGACAGGCGCAGCGTTTTGGGAAGGTAGTAGCGCTGTTTGTGAATCGCGTTGCGCGCCGATTGCGTGGCCGGCGCCTGAGTTTCCCACTCTGAGGTGCAGATTTCGTGGCAGGCACAGCACTTTCGCAAGGTCAAGTGCAGAATTCGCGGCAGGCGCAGCGCTTTCTCACGGTCAAGTTCTGCATATCGTGGCAGGCGCAGCACTTTCGCAAGGTCGAGCACAGGTATCGTGGCAGGCGCAGCACTTTCGAAAGCTCGAGTGAAGATTTCGTGGCAGGCGCAGCACTTTCGAAAGCTCAGCACATCTCAGGGCTACGCGCAAATAGATAAGATGGTGGAATGGAAGAGAGACAGAGAGAGAAAGAGAGAGAAAGAGAGAGAAAGAGAGAGAAAGAGAGAGAAAGAGAAAGATGAAGAAAGACAAACGAATTCAAGAAAGAAAGAAAGTTTCGCAAGGTCGAGGAAAGATTTCGTGGCAGGCGCAGCACTTTCGAAAGGTCAGGCGCAGATAGATAGATGGGTAGGTGGACAGATAGACAGACAGATAGATAGATAGGTAGATAGATGCATAAGTAGATGGCTAAATAGATAGAACAAATGGAAAGAGAGAGAGAGAGGGAGAGAGAAGAAAGAAAGAAAGAAAGAAAGAAAGAAAGAAAGAAAGAAAGCAAGAAAGAAAGAAAGAAAGAAAAAAAGAAAGAAAGAAAGAAAGAAAGCAAGGGACGCCCCGCCTGCAAACTCGACTATCTCTACCAAAAAGCTGCGCGGGGGATGCTTTGCTTCTCTTCCTATAGGCACGCGTCCTTTCTACACACTTCCGCCCTCCAGCTCTGCTAAACGAATCCTGGTAGAGAGATGAATTTGGTCTACATATGGGTTGCTACCGAATACATGCATTTTGTAGTAGCTGCGCGCCTCTTGTGCCATTGTGCAGAGATTGGGCGTGGCAGATCTGCTTTCCAACTGCACGCGCTCCCCCGCTCGCAGGTACAGGCGGCCATGTTGGCAAAAACTACGCCCTTTGGTTGGAACCTTGCCGTTTCAAGCGTTTATGCACGAGGCCCCAAAGAAGCACTCGCTTTAAGCAAGCGCGCGTGTCCAACAGTAGCACGCCGATAGCATCCGGCTGAATCCGCTTGAGTGTGGGGAAAAAACGAAAGCGTGTCAAACGAAGATGAAGGAGAATCTAGGTGTGTGCTTAGGTGTGGGTTTCTTTGGAAACTACCTGTTCTCTTTAGGATGGATAAAGCCCTCTTCGAACACTAGTAGGATTTGCGCCGTTGTTGCAAACGCGGGCGTCTACAAAATGCGGTTACTCAATCTGGGGATCTATGACCAAGTAACCTCTCAGTGTCATTTGTGCTGGGCGAGTTGGCTTTCACAGCCGTCGAATTTAGGGTCCCATGTTGTAGAGAATTTGTTCTCCACACTGCGTCATTTTGTATGGGCTTTTGCCATCACCAACTTGTTATAGCACAGACTGACTGTTCCTCAACGCACAGAAAGATCCATTTCCCGCTCTTGAACTTGAGCCTCTGAGGCAGGACTGGGCACACGCCCGGGCGTATGCGTGAGCCTGGTCTCGCTTGCGCAGTACACTCATCTCAAGTCTTCTCTGCCTTTGTTGTTTGCGGAAGTTGAGTTGTTTTGCACTACGGTCATGGCGCCATCCTCCACTCGAGGTGCAAACACAGCTCCTTTGTCTTCCCCAAATGTGTGAGCCTGCGCCGCACCTCGCAGACTCCACCTGATCGTGGGATACAGAAAGGGAGCCATAAATTCTCAGGCAGCGCTTCACAGGCCTTGGCCTGGCAAACACCACTGTCAGTCGTTGGCGAAGGCCTAGGCTGTCCCGCATGAGCTTTTCCAGTAGCTCGGCAGCTACGAAGCTGAAGAGGGGCAATGGCCTGGAACTGTTTATTGGATTGGGTCACAGGCCGGCCCCGCGTGACGCTGTCCCAGAGTTTGCCAGGAACCGCGCTGTCAACAACAGACTCGTTGAGCACTCGGCTCTGTGGCTGCGAAGCTGTTTGGCCGGCCGCAGCCAGCGACGCTGTGTTTCGGAGGCGGCTGAAATTTGGGCGTGAGCCCGCCAGGCAGCTTCCAGGTCTATGGCTTTCTGCAAGTGCTTGAGGAAGCTTCTCCTTGTGGAGCGCCCTCCCCGTGACAGCTGGGCAAGCAAACAACCAAAGCAGAAGACTTGAGATGAGTGTGCTGCGCGCGAGAACAGGCTCACGCATGCGCGTAGCGTCTGTACAGCAAGATGGATGTCGCCCAGCGATGTCCAGTCTTGCCAAATCAGCCGAAGAGGCTCCAAATTCAAAAGCGGGAAATGGATCCCCCTGTGCATTAAGGGGGGGAAGGTTGGAGCAGTCAACCTATAGTATAAGAAGTTGGCTCTAGCAAAAGCGTTTTACAAAGTGAGGAAGTGTGGAGAACAAATTCTCTTACAAAATGGGACCCTGAACTCCGCGGCTGTCGTTTGCCGTTGTTGCAAACGCGGTCGCTACAAAATGCGATCACTCAAGCTGGGGATCTATGTCCTGTCGGCCACACAGACATCTAAGAGTGGGCGAGTTGGCTCTCAATCCTACCACTGATCGAAGTGGGTTGGACACCCGCCCTATAGCGAACATGTAGTTACCATACAAACACATAAGCATGCACCTACATCATCCTATTTGTTTTACATTCGGATCGGGATGGGAGGCACCTGACGCGCGGGAACAACATGGGAGGCACCTGACGCGTGGGACAGAAAATGGCACTTGACGTGTGGGAGCCTGACGGGTGGGATCGGTCGAGACAGGAGGTACCTGCCGCAGGAGAGGGGACGCGGGATTGGGATACCTGAGCACGAGGGGGGATATTACCCGACGCTCGGGATCAGGATCGGTACTTTATGCACGGGGAGCGGATAGAACTTGACGCGTGAGATCGACTACGATAGGAGGTACCTGACTGGATCGAATAGGACCTGACGCGGTTGAAATAGGGAGGTACCTGACGTGCGGGAGTGTGCGGGATCGGGATAGGAGGTGCGTGGGCGTGCTAGAGGGCGATAGTACTTGACCTGACTCGCGGGAGGGGGAATAGGGGGAATAGTAATTGAGGAAGCGCCTGATGCGAGGAAGGAGTATGGCACCTGACGCGCGGCCTCGGGATGGGAGGTAGCTGACGTGCGGGAGGGGGATCACCTGTGCGATCGGAACAGGAGGTCTGACGCGCGGGAAAACGTGCAAGATCGGGCTTGCAAGGAGGAGCCACCCGATGCGCGGGAGCGGACATGACGTGCGGGATCAGGACAGGAGATACCTGACGCTTGATGCGTGGGAGGGGGGATAGCACCTGACGCGCGGGATTGGGATAGGTCTGGGATAGGAGGTACCTGACGTGCAGCGGGATTGGGATAGGAGGACTTGACGTGCGGGAAGGGGGATAGTACCTGACGCGCGGGCTAGACTCAGGTTCACATACTTGCTTACTTGTTGAATGCGTGCCCGCTTTTGATATTGCTGCTGGCCTTGGCCGTGGGACAGGACAAAGCTAGCAAGTTGGACAAGCCAAAGGCACCTTCGCCCTCAAACCACAGAGTTAGCAAATTGATTAACGCATCCATGTGGTAGGAAGCAGCACTTGACTGGAGCAACCTACAACTGTGACAAACGATCCACGTCCTAGCCTGCTATTCGGAAATGGGGCACTTTCAAGGTGGTTCAGCGCAAGTCGGAAACTTTGCAGAAGAGAGAGGCCTCGACCGCCTCCCTGATCTACCATCACCGCACCTTGCGACTGGTTTACGACCTGGCCCAGCAAATGCTGTGGCAGAGGGTAGAGCACGTGACGTGCGGCACCTAGCGGGATAGGAGGCCCCTGACAAGCGGGAGGGGGGATAGTGCCTGACACACGGGATGGGAGGTACCTGACGTGTGGGAGGGGGGATAGCACGTAGGGGGTACCTGACGTGCGGGAGTAGCGGGTGCAGGAAACGGGAGGGGATGCGGGATAGGAGAATATTACCCTGACGTGCGGGATCGGGATATGGGGTACGTGCTGACACGCGGGATTGGGACAGGAGGCCCCTGACGAGCAGGAGGGGGGGGGGGGAATGGTACCTGACGCGCGGGTGGGAGGTACCTGACACGCGGCGGGATCGGGATAGGAGCTACCTGACGCGCGGGAGGGGATAGTACCTGACGCGGGCTGGGGCACCTATGCATTCGTGGGAAACACTTGCATCAACCGCTGTGGCTATTCCGTTGGCAAGAGACAAAGGCCCACAAGGTATCACAGCAATTTAGAGTGGCTACATCTGCTGCCCTTTCAGTGAGTGTGAGAGAATTGCTTCGAATGTTCAGATTATTGATAGGCTGGATGCAATCATTCGTAGAATCTGACCAAACAATGATCTGCCGGATTTGGCCCCAGACTCTGGTTGCCTCAATCCCAATCTCCGTTTTGAGGATTGAAGCTGTCGCTTTACGCTTTCCTCACAGGTCCCATGAAAGCCTCCTTTCGGGAACATTGAATTCAACCCCACCGTTTTCTAGCCGCTAGATTCTAGCCAACCCAAACGAAAAAATCCGACACGGGTGCGTCTCAAAATGATTGTGAGCCCCAAAATTATGTTGCTTCCTCCTTGCCTTCAAAATTAATCCAAGTCAACCCAAATCAACGCAAATCGGCCCAAAATCAACCCAAACACACAGACTCTGAGCCGCCTCGGCTCTTGCTCTCTGAGCCCGTCCAACTCGACGGTGTCGGGACCCTGGCAATGCTGGCGTTTCGCAGCCAGCGAGCAACCCTGTGCTGGGGGTGGAGGGGTAAACCAAAAGGCCACAAACTCGTCTTAGGGGTCCCCTATTTGGGTGTGCCTGTTTTTAGATCCCCGCCTACGGGGGAAAAAAAATGTGGTTTTCCTGTTGATTTCCTTTAGAACCACAAAACAGGGGGACCCTCGAAAAAGACAGGCCTGACTCAAGTTGGACACAATTGACACACAAAGCAACCATTATTGAAGAATGGTTTCCTGCAACACCTTTGTCCAGCAATGGACGTGGATCGGATAGATCCTTTCTAAGATGCTGCTAGTCTTCCACCCTCCACTGCCATGCTTCTGGGAAACAAGCAAAAACCCAAGGACGGCCCCATTGGCCGACCGAAATTCAGACCTGGAAAAATGAGTTCCCTCGCCATGTTCAAGGGAACACCTTTGACTGTGGCCCTTGAAAAACAAAACACAAAACACCCCACATCGAGAAAAGCCGACCGGAGAAAACCAAAGAGCAACATGGCATGTCTTCTTTTAGACCCCCCACGAAGGGCTACCAACTCAGGAAGAGCTCCTCCGTTCTCTTTAGGCCCTGGGAGAAAAAAGAAGAAGAAAAAGAAAAAGAAAACGAGCACGAAAACCGCCGCGAAAACCGCCGAGTGCCTCACGAACGATCCGCCGAACGCGGCTGCCCGTGGTCCGCGGGCCGCGCCTGGTGGATGCGCCGCTGGGGCCCTCGGAGAGCCAGGCCTTCAGGAGCTTCGCGGTCACCTCTCCGAGCCATCGGTGAGCCAAGAGGTGTCGGTCATTTCCTTTGCAAACTTCTTTGTCTCTAGTCCAACATCCAGTGGTCATTTGTTTTCCTGATTTTGGGATGTACTGTGGATGGTTGCAAAAAACTGTTCGCACCAAGAAATGAAGCCATGGTTGAAACCATTGTTTGTTGGTATTTAAGGGGGAATCATCCTTCCAGGGTTTCTTAGGTGCAGGATTTCATCCATCCACAGTATGCTTTGCTTACACAACTGGCGAAGCCTCGGTATGAGCTTGCGGGACAAACTTTAACTCTTCTTTGCAGCCCACTACGGAAAATGAAGAGAAACAAAGACACCCTAAACCTACAAACATGCCAACAACAGTGAAGAGAATTGAATTTACCTTTGGTTGAAACCCCACCAGGTGATTGCTTACAAACAGGTGTCTTGGGATCCCAAGATGCTGTTGGGGTTGTGTGAACTGCTGATTGTTGAAGGAAAAACAAAAAACAAATCAGATTGTTTTGCCAGCCTTGTTTGTCAAGTGTCAAAGCCGGCCATCAAATGGTGTGAAACAACGGGAATGGGCCCCTGTTTCTTTCTGACACCTCCCTCAAATTCCATGGGCCCTGGTGGTTGGGCACCCCAGCCAAAACTGTTCTCAGGAAGCAGACGGCGAAAAGCAAAAGCCGGGGGGGTGGCCTACAAGCCGCGGTCTGAACGAAAACCTTCGAAATTGGTGGGCCACCCAAGGAAAGCACAACATCAAGCTGGGCTCACGATCTGTCGCCCCTGTGCCGGCTTTCTGGAGGTTTTGGCCAAGGAAACCCAAAGAAATCAATTCAGAACACGTGGGAAACACGAGAATTGGTTTTGGTCCCAGGAAACCAGCGAGAGAACGAGGGAAGCGCGACAACTTCCCCACTTCTCGCCGCGCCGAAAGCGGCCGCGCCTGCCGGCGCAGCCAGTGGTTCTCCGCAGCAAGGCTCTCGAAGTGAGGCCGGGCCTGACACGGAGGCCCATGGATTTGGACAACACATCACTGGACACACTGGTCACAGTCCTAGTTGGTGCAGATTGGTGGTTTGGTTGACGGTTTCCCAATTCCACAAGAACCAGGAGTGCAAATCCCCAAACTAATCTAAACCACCTGTGAGGTTTCCACTTTGCTAGGTTCGACTTGGAAAACAAGTTTACAGGACAAAATCACCGCCGGATTTTGGACGTCAAGGGAAAACAACCCGAACCAAACTCATTTAAAGTTAGCCCGCGAGAGGGGAACCGAGAAAGCGCAGTTCTCTATTTGCAACCTTCAGGTCAGCAAGGGGCGGAACCAAGCCTTTGGCGGCGCAACGCCCTTCTTCAAACACGCAACCACATCCCCTTGCCCAATCAAAATTTATCGTCCATCCAGTGCGGTTGGCTTCTTGTTGCCATTCCTTTAAAAAGGTTGCCGGCCTAAAAGGCGCGCTATCCCGACTCCTCTTGACACCTCATCACCCCCCCCCATTGCCCCCGCCTCGTTGATGCCCATCTTCATCAGCTGCCGCCGCAGCTCACCTGTCGCTCGTTGGCAGAGGGGCGCTTTCGGGTATGCCAAGGATTTTCCAGACGTGGGAATCGACAAAGACAGGAATGAAACCCAAATGAGGGAATTCTGCCATCTACTGTGCGGCAAAACAACAGAGTTCCCAGTTTCCCATATGTCCAACGTAAAAGTATCGACCCACCGAAAAAGGGAAACATCATTCAGCTTGGCCCTTCCGAAAGGAGAATGCACACGAGCAACAGGCCAAAACAATCGGCGAATGTATAGGTTTGTCTCAAAATAGGGAAACTTCTCAATGGCGGGGTTGCCGGTGGTTGCCATACAAGAGCCTCGAAAGTGCTACCCTCGAAAAAAGCCGATTGAAAACTTGCGTGTGTCTTTTGAGGCTACCTTTGCAGGTTGGTTCAGAACGGGGAACCAAAGGGAAAAACCGAAACCGCCGCCCGGTGAAAACGCCGCCCGATTCAGACGCGGCGTTTTGAGGACCGCGCGGTTCTCCTCCTCCTGGCTCCAGGGCCTCGAATCGAACCGAACCCCAGGTCCCAGCCCAGATTGCGGGGAGGAACACCCCAAAAGAAACCCAAAGATACAAAGATACTGGAGGAGAACAATTGAACCAGGGAGGGGGTTCCCCCCAAAAAAAGGACCCGTACCAGATATTGGGGGTAGAGAAGGGAAACTCTCTTTGAGGGTTCCTTGGATACATGTTGCATTTAGAAACCAGCCGAATACCAGCTGTGTCAAAGGGGTTCTACATGTAGGTGATTTAGAATTCCCTCCTTGAGAAGGCTTCAAACAATACTTGCAGGTACTCCACAAATTAACAGGAACCCCTGGCAACGATCAGAGGAAACTACTTTTTGCAAAGATAGCCGCCGAAGACCCCCCCGCCACATCGGATTGCCTGCGGCCCTTCTTCTGCGCCCCAATAAACATTATTATAGACAATCCCGACACCGACCATGCGAAGGGATTCGATGAGACTAAAATTGGCTTCCGTGTAAAGCATGAGGCCATTTATCGAAGGGAGACACGGACCAACCACTCACCTTATCGGACCCAAGCAAGCTCCTCAAAATCTAGCTCACTTGGCACACGCGTGGAAGAGACCCAACCCAGATGGTGGAACTTCCATCCCCACCTCTCCGAGCGCAGCTGGTATTCCTGCGCCAAGCCCCGCTGCTCCTGTCGCAGGCCACGCGACATCTCAGTCAGAATCAAAACCGATAGGTACTAAAATGGTCCACCCGGAAGCATGTAAAGAAGTAACTGGCTGCACCGGTTGGGATTGTGCATCCCTAATGTCAACCTAAGTTTGATTATTGGGCCCGTATTAATAACATTCTGGGCCACCGGACCCGCTTTTTCACCCAATACTAAATTAAGAAGGGGTTAATTCAAAAGTTAATTGCAGACATACAACACCCCCCCCCCCCAAGTCGATCCTCCAAAGCACATCAGTAATAAACCACCCAATAAACTCACATTAATGAAATTCCTCAAACGCTGGGGTAAGCCAAACAAGTTTCTTTGTTTAACAGGGGCCAAACCAGTCCGAAATGATTCAAATGTAAGCAGGTAGCGTGCAGAAGTTGATGGCACAGAGACACGTGCAACAAGTGCGCAGCGCACCAGGCCAGGTAATTGCATAACTGGAACCTTCAGAGCCTCCCCAGCAGACCTCAGATCTCCAAAACACATACATGCCCGGGGAAGTCTGGCTTTAAGTGACATCTCTTTGTAAAAGTGATGCCCCAACAGTCCAGCGTGAGGTACCCCACACAAGCTCCCCAAACCCGCACTAGTAAAAGGCTTCACATTAATAAACGAGTACTCGTCGTACTAGAAGTAGTACTGCAAGTACTAGAAGCAGTACTACAAGATACTCTAGAAGTAGTACTACAAGTACCACAAGTACTAGAAGTATTACTACAGCCACTACTACAAGCACTACAAATACTAGAAGCAGTACAAGTACTACTACAAATACTACAGCCACTACTACAAGTACTACAAGTACTACAAGTACTAGAAGCAGTACTACAAGAACCACTACAAGTACTATAGCTACTACTACAAGTACTACAAGCACTAGAAGCAATACTACAAGTACTTTGTTTTACTACGGTACTCTGCCCGGAAAACATTTAATTAAAAAAAAAAAAAAAAAAAAAAAACTGTTGAGGGGGGGCGTTTACTAATGTGAAGCGGACATAATGTGAAGTCGACATTATTCTTGGTACAACTCCACTTGCCTGTGAGATGAACCCTGCGTGCTCAGCGCAGACACCCCTCCTCTGACGACAGAGTCAGGGCAGCACACAGCGGCGTGGGCGGCTTCGACGGCCTCCGAAGCAGACAAACGCAGCCCGATCTTGCAAAGGGAGTGTGCCTCAGGCCTCTGTGGATGGCACTTCTTGCGAAAAAGCTATCGAGGCAGTTCAAGAGCGCATTGTTCGATGGCCGAGCAACGACTTCGGGCATTCATCCAAAACTTGCCATTCCCAAAGGAGCGAGAGGGGACCTTTGGCCCCAGTTACAGCATGACCGATGCCGTGGCGCGACTCGATGCCAGAATGGCAGCATGCCCACAGGAGGGGTGAAACTAGAGTGTTTTGGGGTATATTTTGAAAAACCAAGATTTCGTAGTCAGAGTCAATCCATCATCTGTCCATCATAGCGGGGCCTGGTTGGTCGCTAAGTCAGTCAGTCGGTCTTTGGGTCGGTGGGTGGGTTGGTTGTGGGTGGTTGGCCGTCTTTCAGAAACCACATGTTCGATAAACTTTGTGCCAGGGCACTCTACAGACTGGAAGCTGCGCAGTATGTGACCTTGCCAAATATTCATGCCACTCAGCCAACTGCTAGAGGCAGCCATCGTTGAAATGTGGCGCAAGCCCAAAAACAATTCTTCCAGATGTCTTCCAGATGGCGCCGCACCCCAAACAACTTGTCTCACGTCTCTCAGATCTCCCGCGCCTGCGCTCAGGCCTCGGATAGGTTTCGGCTTCGAAGAGAAAGGGTGGTGAGAACCAACCACTCGCCGTGAAAATGGAGATGGCACACTTTGTGCCCGTGACAAAACCATGGGAAGGAGTGCTCTACTTTCCCCTTTGGTGTCATGGATGGAACCAACCAATTCGGAGGCGCAAATCGGCCAGGCCGGCCGATTTGTAAAGAAATAAGATCCTAACCTGAGGCACACTGGAGTCCGGGAGTGCCCCACCAAGCCTTCCTTCCCACCAAAGGAAAATTGGTTGCCAGCGGAATTCCGGTGGGTGCCATGGAGACTAACAGTACATACAAAGTTTGGGGGTTCAAACAAAACTAAAACATCTGTCCTCTTGGCTTGACATTCTAGGAACGCCTTAACAGCTAGGACTGCTTTTGTTTGACTCCCAACCTTTTCTGTTGGGTCCGGAGTATTATGGGTTCAACCGTCAACAACCCCTCGGAGTTCTTGGCTCATGAAAGCCTCCCGTTTGCTCCTTTGCTCTTGAAACAGATAACCCCGATGCCTCATTTGCTGCCTCACCTTAAAACCACTTTACAACCACCTGCAACCACAAGCCTTCAAAACCACCCACCCCAACGACTTGCCGCGGCACGCGAAGGACGACTTCCGGGAGGACCACGTGGAGCTCTCCTCCAACGGCGCGGGCCGCGGGGGCCTTGCCGCCGCCGCAACCGCCGGAAGCGCTGGAGCGTCGTCTCTGGAGGACCGCGCCTGCCAGAAGGGCGCAACCAAAACAGGTCTGGCCTTTTCGGGGCGGTATCCCGCGTTTTTGTGGTTTATTTGAGGAAGAAAAAAAAATCACCGTCCCAAGACGAGTTTCTGGGGCTGTCGGTGTGTTTGCGGTGCCCCTTTTTGGGCCAAGAAAAACAACTGGACCACCACCATCTTGGGGAGTCCCCTTTAAAAAAGACAGACCAACAACAGCCAAGGTCATCTTCCCATTCAAAAAGCCAGGGCATTGAATCATCAAACAACCGATCCCTATCAACTCAGGGCACAGGGGTAAAATGACTTTTGCAGACCCAAAACAAACGAGGGCTCATGGTTGTGACAAATCGGGCCCTCTCTGTCTTACCGAAGTGATTGGAGTCTGATCCCCATGGCTAGTTCATCACTTTCAAAAAAATGATTCTCCACAACCATGCTACAAGGAACAAAGAGAAGAGTCACATGCTACTAAATTGCCGCCCCGAGAAAATGGCTTTTCTGCTTTGCCAGACATTTCTTCTAAAAAACAGTTGCCACCGGTGGGAAACCAGGGACCCTGGAGAAGAGACCCTGCATGGGTGACGTCAATTTCACCTCAGAAGTCAAGGAAAAGTGGAACTTCGACGCGGCCCTTAAGGCCGCAGTAGCAACGCCCACGCGCATCTCATTATCTCCCTTGAGCTGGAGATAACCAAATCATATGAGCAGAGTTGCTACCTCTACCTCGCAGAGTTCGCAAAGCATGATCGGAACTGCAAAGCCACATCCGGAACGAACCTGAGAATAAGATCGACTGCTTCTGGCCAAAAAGTCAAGCTGTAAGAACAGGCTAATGTTGGGGGGGACTTGGCCAAAGTGATCTGGTCTGGACCGCTGTTTGATAGGAGAACACCAATTGTTTCAGAGATGTTCAGCTAACCACAAAATTGCCACACAATCTCCCTTCCCCTTTTCCCAGCAAAAAAGGAACAAAGGGATAAACAGTATGGCACGATGACCAAGGACAAACCCTTCTTTGAAGGGAGAAACGCCTTGGCCAGCGAACAAGTCCACCCGGAGAACCGAAAAAGTACGAGAGCCGGGAGCGCAGAGCCCAAACCGCGCCTTGGGCTTCGCCGCTGCTTTGGAACCCTTCGAAAAGAGCCGCCTCAACTCCTCGTGGACCACCGCGCCTCGGTCGGTGCAGCCGGTACCAGAACTTTCGGGGGAGGGCCCCGGAATAAAGAGCAAGTGCTTTACTAGGGCGGTGCTTCGAGCAAAAGTGAACTTAAATGGGACAAGCCTATTCATCAATCAAAAGCTTCTTCATTCGGTGTTGCCGTTACCCTCCCGCAAAGTACCTTGTAAGGTAATCTCCATTCGGGGAACACCACCTGTTAAGGTTCCAAAATCGTATCCTTTGCAGTGGCTAGAAGTTGGCCAAAAACGGGAAACTGCAGGTCATCAGACAGCTAGGGTGGCTCCCTTTTGCTGTCATGTTCAAATCACCCCATGGTGGGTTCCAAAGGCAAACAGCCAAAATCATGTCCACCATTATCTTGCTGGAACAGTTGCCCCAAACCCTTCAATGGCTCCAAGTTGAGCTAAAAGCCACCAACCAAACGATCCGGCCAAACAGGAATATCTTCCGCTTTTGGCTGGGCGAAGTACGCCGGTCTCCAACGATGATCGTGGATATCTATGATGAATGGCTGCTCTGTTTGATGTTCACTCCCCCCTCAAAAAACAAATGCTGATTTGGAATCTGCTCGACGAAGTGCCCCAAAAAAAAGACATGCCAACCCAACCCAAAAACTACGGGAAGCGCGTCCAACAAGGCAAGCCATGTGTCTTGCGGTAAGCCAAACATAGAGTCCATCCAAGCCGGGCCACTGAAAACAACACTGAGGTGTAAACTACGAAACGAAACAACAAACAACACCGAGGTGACGCGGTGCCCTTAAAAGCATGTTAGAAAAACACCACTGGCCTGTGCCAAATCTGCTCCTCTAGCGATGGGACCCCGTTGGTTTGAACCCTGCGTTCAGCAGGTCCCGTGACCCACTCCCCACAAGAAATTGGAGGCCCTTCCGTGGACCTCGAAATGCGCAGATTCATGTCCACCACTTGTCAGGTGGTTCGAACCAACTCTCCAAATTGGCACACGGCTCACCACCAAGATCGAGCGTAAAAACCAATTATCAAGTCCCCAAGCTCAGCTCAGACCGTCAGACCCCCGACATCGGGCGGCATCCCGAGATCCCGGCACCGGTCTTGGCCCTCCAGGCGTGAAGCCGCCGTGGCCTTGGCGGTGCCCACGAAGTTGTCCGGCCTTCGGCTCCGGTGGATCAGCTCGGCGTGTCTTTCTTTTTGGGCACTCGCTTTTTCGGCGGTTTCGCAGGGAAACCAAACGGACCACCTTGTGGCAGTTGGAAAGCTGCTGCAAAATGGGTATTGTCCATTTGGCTTCCCTGCAAGGGGCAACCAACCGGTCCCAGTCCTTTGAGAGAAACCAAGCCCCGGTCCAATCCCTGGTTCAACTCCTAAAACCTGGCAAGAAAAAGGTTGAGAGACAACGCCTACCACAGTGGCTTGCCCGGAAGCACTGGGCCAAAAATTGGTCAATCGTCAATGCTCGATATTTTGTCGAGGTCCAGTTGGGGTAACCCTAAATGGGTTCAGTATTACCGCTGCAACTTAGCATGAGTTGTGACTACGAACCCTTTTTAGAGCCCGAAGCCGGCTGGCGCCGCTTCTTGAAGGGTTCGAACCCGAAAAAGAAGGATCCCCCAAAATGAGATTCCTGTAAAAATGAGCGCGTATTAGGTTCCATGTTGAATTGCAAGGGAGTAAACAACCAGGCCTCTGTTCCAATTCCGCAAAGGGGAAAGCGAAAAAGGAGTTAGAATTGCTTGTTAGCATGTTTGATCAAAGCGCGGAATCCACCAATCCTGAAAAAAGATACTCAAACAAGAGGCTGGCCAAACCCTGCTCCCCCGAACGCAGCTGGGTTTGACTTCGGCTGGCCCCCCTTGACTTCGCCATAGGTCAACCCCCCCTAACTAACCAAATGTGGTTATGGTGGACCACCTTCAGAAGGGTAGGGGGCTTCGGCTTGGGCTTTCAACATAGGCTCATGCAAGTTTAAGGGAAACAACAAACTGGTGTTTGTCCTTGACAACCCCTAGAAACAATCGAAATGATGGACTCCTAAATGTTGCTCAGTGTTGCACAATCCATTTCGAGGAGCTTTTGGGTCAGGATCTCCTGTTCCATTTGTTGCAAGGGGGTGATAGTGCCAGGTCCCCCTGCCGACAGGTGACCGCAGTTTGGGGGTGGGGTGAAATGACCATTTCTTCTCTTTCATTTGCTATTCATCTCATCTCCTATTCGTGGGTTTTGGACTTGGACCTCCAAGCACACCGCAACGTGGGGCCTTCAAGTCACTGACTCCCAAACTCCCTGCATCCACGCTGCAGGACAAAGTCTGGAGGCAGCTCCATAGCCAAGGGAGGCACAAGGTCGCTGATCAAAGAACTGGGCGATGGCTAGTGGCAAGCCATTGGAAAGCCGCAGAAGGATCTGGATTCCCAAAAAGCCCCCTTGTTGGTTTGTTGGCCGGGCACTGGACTCGCGCGCCGGAAAGCGAGCTCCTTTGGCTTCGCTGTCAGGGTCTTTGAGCCGAACAGACCGAGCGGGAGAAATGGGCGAAGTGGGCCAAGGCACAGTCTGCAATTCCTTTGCGTGAAGCCAAACGTCCCCCCCCCCCCGCGACGGCTCTTTTTACTCCAGGACACCAACGCCCAAAACCAGCCTTGACTCTGGGCGCCGGGCCCACCAACAGAACCGGCTCCGAGTCAGCGCCTCAGGATCGAAACTGCAGAGGCGGCAGTGTCGCAAAATGGTTAGCGGAGCTGCCCGAAGCCCTGCAAACTATTTGAGCACGCACTTCAACATCAAAAGATCCTTCCTGGAAAAGTAACGATCGCAACCAGGAACGTCAAGCCACATCCATACAGACTCGGCATGGCAAGCTAAAGCAGCTGGGAGGACCAAGAGATGCATTTCCGGAGCAATTTGGACACGAAGCCCCCCTTTTCCATCCTGTCCGCTTCGACCCTAAGGGAGTTGCTGTCCTCGACAAGGCAAAGGACTGCCGACCTTCATGTTTTAGGCAAAGAACCACCTCGACAAAAAGCTGAAAGTCTCTCCAAGCAGCCCTTTCCCACTCACTTCTGGGCCTCACGCGGGCCACGATGCCTTCGCGGAGGATATTCAGCGGCCGCGACTGCCAGCAAATAAGCGAAGACTGCAAGCTGACTAGACTCCTTTTCTCAAGAAGATCTTTGAGGCTGTTCTGGAACAGTTCCAATGAGTCGCCAAATTGTGAAGTGTGGGGCGTGCGGCACGTGGGCGCATGGCAAAGGCCTTCACAATCAAACCCGGGGCGCCCCATGCTCAAGTCTACCTTGCAATTCGCACGGCAACACGATTGAACCCTACTGCTGCCCACAGCAACTCCCCGGCTTCACAAGCCTTCTGCCTGCAATGTGTTCCAAAGATCGTTGCCCAAAGTACAAAAAAGACTGGCGAGACATGAAAAAACTGCTGAGCGTTGCTCCGACATACTTGACTAGCCGTGGGAAGCCCTTCAACCATTGCCTCAGCAAAAGTCACATTGTTTCGACGCAAAACTGGACGTCTCCCTGAGTGGGTTCGCAGCGGAGAGGCTTCTTTTTCCAGCAAGCTGCCGGGCGCACCACGCACGTCCGCGTTGGCAACCCGAGAACGCATACCCTTGCCAGGTGCACCCGCACGCAGGAATTAAAGCGCAACAGTTGCAGGACATCCTCTACAAATCTGGTCAACATTGGCACGGGTCAGGCTCACCAGTTCATCAGGCTTGCACCAGTTCATCAAGCATGCACCTGCCTTCTTTCTCTTGAGCTTGGCTCCAAGAGGATTGGCTCCAAGAGGCTGAAACGTAGAGCCTAACCTAGCCATTTGGGCCACTCAAAAACTGTCGGCAACCCGAGCGCTGCGCGACCTGCTTTGACCACCTCCGCCTTGCGCGGACAGACACACCTCTCACTTCCGTAACAAAAACTGCAATGAAAAGCATGTTCTCTGCCAAACTGGCGACCCGAGCCCCTTTTCCCCCTTCGGGCCAAGGGATTGGAAGCTGTCAACGCTTCAGAAATTGCAGCGCGTCACAAGAAGCCTTCGGGGGACGCTCGTCCAAAACACGCGGTGGAGGTTACCCAAGTCCCCTTTTTGCCCTCACTGAACAAGGGATAGGAGGGCGGCCTATCCCTAAACCTTACAACGCCTCAGAAGGGGGGGGGGGCACCCAGCTAGTTGGAACATGTCACAAGAAGCTGTTGGGGGCGCCTGTCCAAAACTTACAGTTTATTGCCTCGAAGAAACCGTGGAAAACAAGCCCAACTTTCTGCTGAACAGGTAGATCCCGATAGCGCCCTGACATAAATCCTGACCGCGCAAATCCCCGGACATGATCACGACCGTCATCTAGAACCCACCGGGAACAAGGCCACCACTGCTCTGTCCTTACTCTGGCATGGGGCGACGGTCCCTCTTCAAAGGGCTCGTGGCTAAAGGTATTGGCGGTTTCTCCTGGGAACAATGAAAGGGCCCTTCCCGCCTGTCACGCGGTTGTCACCCTTGCCGCATGGAACCGGACGCTTAATCCGACTGGCCTCAGCGTTCGGAGCGCGATGGAGCCTACTTGGGCGCGTGGGGTGTCAAGGGACGGCGCAAGGGTTCAACGCAGAAAGCGCCGACAAAAATGCAACGTCCGCTTTCAATTGACCCATTTTGGCTTCCCTCTTGAACAGGGGTCCTTATGATGTCAGGAAATACCCGTAGCCTGATTGCCCACCAGCCCGAACGAACCGACTGGGACAAAAAGAAAAAGAACGGAGCCGCAGGTGTGGTCATTTCTTGCCAGACAGAAGTTTAGGATCCCCGGCCAAATGACCCACGGTCTCGCTGACACAACAAGTTGATCCCTGCACCATGTCTTCCTCTGCGCAACAGTCATCAAATGGGGTCTGTGTCACAATCGAGCGACCCCTAAATGCTGTTGTTTTGCCCATTCAAACCAACCTGAAAAAGGGCATCTGCCCTTCAAAAGCCGGCTCCAACCTTGCCAACAATTGAAAAAATGCGTGCTCTCAAAGATGGGGTGCTCTCCATGTTGAGCGGTTGTTGCAGTCAAACCACAAGGAAACCAAGCAAATGAAACTCGGGCAGCTTCATAAATAATGCCAAAGTGAAGACGATTGAAGATTCAAAGCCCAACAAAAACAGACTACCCGTGGTTGTGGCTGGTGAAGAAGCCAGCCTATTAAGTCCAGAGAGCGGAAACCAGTAAAAACGCAAACCATTTGGAAGTTCCAAAACCCAATTGGCTTCGGCTTGAGGCAACACCCTCTGCGAACGGATGTGTGTGTGTGTGCGTGTTTTTTCTCCGCTGAGTGCTGTACAGAGCTGATGGCTCCCCCCTCCGCTCGGATATGGATACGGGGGGAGTCACTTAAGACCTTTCGGAGGAACGCCCCCCTTGCCGTGAAACCTGAGACTCTGTACAGCTTCCTGGCCGTACCGATCGACACGTCGGAAAGGACACGGACGCAGCTACATCCACCAATGTGGAAAGCACCACATCCTGCTATGGACAAATGCCAAGGCGGCTCTTCAGAGTCTCATCGGGGCATCGTGCAGACCCCAGGGTGTGAGAAGTTATCTGACCTGTGCAAAAAAATAAACATACATGTCTATATATATATATATACACACATACAGCCAGCACATATAGAATATATGGATTATATATATATATATTATACATATGTGTGTGTGTGTGGACCATGCAAGAAGCGCGAAAGTGTTTCTAGACAAATTCTGGAGAATTGGTTCTCTGAACGCACAAGTGACTCCGTGCAGTTTGCCGCATTCACAGAACAAGCGCCTCAGCACGGGCAAAAACCGGCCATCTCGCCCTGTACACAACGTCAAACTCGTAGAAAGGATAAATCACTATCAAACCCGAGTGCCAGTACGGTTGCGATGTACGTATACATGTTCTCTACATAATTGTGTACAGTATATATGTATATACACATTTTTACATATGTGCTTTTTTCGGATCCCTGGGCTGGGTGGCTCAAGACTTGCCCTCGCCTCTCAAAGGAGTCTGCACCTTGCCGTGTGCTCTGAGATGCCGCCATGCAAACCCGTTGGCTATTCGGCTTGCCGTCGTCGTCGGCACGTGCCAGGCCATGAAAGCTAGAATCAAACAACCCAAGCCGGCATCCAATTCCTGGTTTAGGCAACCCAGGCACTTGGCCCGGGAGGCCCGTGTCATTGACGGGACTGACTCTTGCGGCCTGCGCCGGGCCAGAGCGAGACGCCAAAAAAGGCATGAATTCCCAAAAGGAGTCAGAAGCCATTTTCAGAAGCACTCACCTTGGATATCCAATAATTCCAGAACCCCCCTTGCCCAAGCGCCTCGGTCCAAGCCTTCGGCAAAGCCAAAGGCTTGCAGCCGCGCCGACGTCGGGCGCGCCGACTTATCGAGCGCCGCTGGCGTCGCCCATCAGCGTCCGGAACTTCTTGGGCTTGCCCTTGAGGACCAGGTTCATCTGCATTCCTAGTTGGGATGGGGGGGGGGGTTCCCGGCTAGGGGAGGGTTCTTTTGTGAGGGTACTCCTTTTTGGGGTTGACACGGGCTAGCCAAGGGGGGAGCCCGTCCAACTCCACAAACCCCGCCCACAAGCGTTCAGTTGAAGGGATCCACCCTTCCAAGCAGGCTTGGGGGCTGAAGGAAACCAGCTTCCCACGGAAACTCACGCCCATTTGAGGGTGTCGAACTGCCTGGCTGGGCTGTTTACACAACCCCAATTCATAATCCCTATTGAGAAACCACTACAAACGCACCCTATCAGAACCCAAGGTAAGGATTGAGGATTGTCGCATTGCCTTTGAAGCGACCAGGCTGGCGCAAGGCTTGGGGGAGTGTTCGCGTCACACATCGCACCGGAAACTCCCAAATCATGTGAGCAATCAAATCGGTAAAGAAAAAGCATGAAATCCCCAGATTGTAGATCCAAGAACCGGGATACTACTGTTGCCCTCCCCTGAATACATGGGCATCTCCCAGCTCAAGAAACTTGGCATGCCAAGGCGCCGAGCCGCATGTCCTGCTTATTCTTCTCCCTGAGCACCGCGATGACGCGCTTGCCTTCCCGCTGCCGCTCCCTGGCAAGCCCGACATACCGCCGGAGTCGCGGATTCCGCGCCGGAAACTTCCGCAGGGCCCAAAAAAACAAAAGATTGCCCCCCCCCAAGGCTCCAAGGTAGTCAAATTCATTTGGCGCCAAGGTGGACATCTAAAAATCCTAACCAAGGTTCTGCTACCGCAATAAGTCCTCGTGGTTGAAGCGCGTCAAGGAAGAAAATGCCAGGCAATACAGCCTCCCCGTAGCAAACCCTAGACACAATTCGGTGTCTGAGTTCCTTGTATGGGCGTGTCTTTTTTAAGCGTACCCTTGTTGGGGTTGCTTAAGATGGACACCAAGAGTGAACCACTCATTCTGAGGGTGTCCCTACTTAGAGACAACCCATATGCTCTTTTTGAATGTTGAACGTTGGTTTTGCCGTCATTTGGTTCCAAAAATGACTCGGATATTGTTGATCAGTCGGAATTGTGATGGAATGGTTCGACCCCCCGCTGCAAGGGGAACCAGTCTTCCGCCGCTCCCAATCCGCCCACCTGCGGCTAAGCTCAACCTGGCAGGCCAGAAAAAGGGAGGACGGCCTAAGGGAGCATCAAGAGTGGCCTGACATTCCGCGAGCAACTGTACTAAGCAAACAACTATGCCAACCATGACAATTCGAAGGAGGATTAAGGAAGGAGACGCGTAGACTGCCGCAATTTCCCACGGCTGATTCTAACTGCAAAACGAACAGGTGCTTCCCGCAAAGCAGCATGAACCAGCAAGATTGCTCACATTCTCTTCGCAGCGTAGTCGCAGCGTCCGATGTGCCTTGCCCGCCGCGTCGTTGGCCAACATGAGGTGGGCCCTCACGCTCTTAGGGCGGCCACCTGCGGCAAAACAGGCCTGGGCATATCAAGAAGGCCGCATTTGTCAGCATGCCCAAACTGGCCCGGCATTCTACGCCACGCTTGGCTCCGTCAAAATGGCTTGAGCATCATCCGAAAAGCTAAGCCAAAACCTGCCTCCAGCCAGCGCCAGCTGGTTGCGTGTGCCTGGAGACCGGAAGCCGATCTCCGGAGATGGGAAAACGGCCGGCCTTGTACGTGTCAAAACAGTGACGCTCAAAATGAATGAGTTCCTTTTGGCTTCCCAAAGTAAGCCGAAAAGGGCACGGACCCCCTCCAGAAAAAAGAATGAGAAAAGGAGGGCAAAGGATCGAAAGTGGAGGTCTGGGGCACGAAACCCTCACAAAAGCCTATGCAGGCGAATGCTTGGTCAGGTGCTAGTGGAATAATATTTTGGGAACCACCCTTGATTTGGTTCTGCCTTAGATTCTGCAGACTTCAGAGGAAACCAATGAAGCAAGGAACGGAAGCGTTGGGGTCGTAACCCCCCCCAGCAAAAACCTTCCCTCGATCGCCCCAAGTTTTCACTCAGTCCCTGTCACCGCCAGCCCCCCTCCTCTCTGCTTCCAGATGTGCGCAACGTCCCGGTTGGTTGCCACCATGCCGCTCGGGAGCCTCCGAAGCTTCCACCCGGGGGTGGGCTGGTGGGGGGCAGGCGCCTTTGTTGATTTGCTGCTAAATTGGGTTCTAACACATGGGTGCCGGGATGCACATCATCGTCCTTTGGTGCAAGCTGAAACCCGTTTGCCTTAGAGGCGTCCCGTTTAGTGTTCCCTCATTGATGGGTGCTGGAATCGACATAATGCCAAACCAACTCGTTCGATTTGTTTGGATCGGGCGGCGGTTTGATCCCAAGCTTGACCCGCCCGCAGGGTTGTGGGAAGGCCTGCAAGGCCCATCTGCTGGGATCGAGTGAATCCCGAAACAAGGCAATCCAGGGGTTTCTTCTCCGCCACGTCTCGTTACCCCACGCAGGTGGACCCGACCGAGTCTTGTCCAGAAAAAGAAAATACGACTCGTGGGGTGACGTGAGATGCTGCATCCGTTGCCAACATTTCCCACATGAACCACGTCCCCAATTTGGTCCAAACCTAGGGGCCGTGGTTGGGATGCCCAAACAGTCGAAACAATGATCCCTTCCCACGTGTCAGGAAAATATCAGGACCCCCTCAGACATTGGCTATGAACTTGAATGGGAAATACAGAAAACAACATTCCGCATGTCCACCAGAGCCTCCCGAATCAGAATTCATACCCAACTTCCCCGGAACACGCGCCCAAGTCCAAAACCCGGCCGCGTCCCCGCTCGCCTGAGGTCGCCGTTCTCCAGAACCGTGGCCGGCTGCAGCCCGAGGATCCGCATGACCTGGAGTTCATGCGGAAGCTCCCTGGATCCCTTTCAGCAGCTCCAAGCCTGTTCGCATGTTCGCCAGAGAAAGCGCTCAGTTCTTCCGACCCGAAAAGTCTCGTTGGACCAGTCGCCTTTCGTCAGAATCGGAACATATAGAAGGCCTGAGTGGCCATCAATGTTCATTGGTTGCAGCCCACTTTCTGTTTAAAGAGGCACCCGCAGCATATGCTGCTGGATCTTGGTGAGACCGGCAGGACTCAAACCTGCATCCCGAGGTGCATGCACTCGGGTGCGCTTATGCGCCACGGGCCGTGTGGAGCCAGAGCGAGGAGGGTTTTTAGGTTCGGGTCGCCAAACAACTAGACCCAAATGAACATTCCTGGCCTCTTCGAACTCGGCCTCGTCGTCGCACTCGACCTCAGCTGCAAAAAAAGGGGGGGGAAGGGGGAGGGGGCTTGGACCCTGGCAAGCACAAGAAGAATGCTGTGAAACCTATCAACGCAAACAATCTACTTTTGATCAACAACTGCAGAACGGCAAACGTCCCGCCGCGGTGCTTTCAAGCACGTCCCAAAAACGTATGTCTCAAGAATCAGTACAGCCCACAAAGCAAAAAGCACAAGGTTCCTCCCAAGTAGAGAACACGGTCCTTGATGCCACTTTTGCCTCGTGTTCACGTCAACATCATGCTGCCGCGCGGCAATCTCCGTAGAGCTTCCGTCCGAATCCTGCCCAAAAGCTTCAAGGAACATGAAAGGAACATGAGAAAGATCCTGTTCTGGGCCCATGGTGTTGGGTTCTGTACATATGCATATCTACATGGAGAGAGAGAGAGAGAGAGAGATCAAGAGAGATGTGTGTAGGGGTGCTCTATATATATATATATATATGTGTATATATTATAATATATATATATACATATGTGTCGCGGCCTTCATTCTTAGAGCTCACTTTTCCACGACACGTCGACTTTGACGACTCTGGACAGGCAGGACACGCCATTTGCTCTCAAGGGTGCTTCTGACAAACGACTCGATGCTGACTTCAGAGACCTGCAACACACACAAAAAAACACTTGGACATTGGATATCCGAGAAGAAGAAAAAAGGGGGAGAAAAAAAAAAAAAAAAAAAAAACATGATGAAGCCCAACTCCCTGTGGGCCCAGTCCTCGTCATCTTCCTCATCCTCATCCTCCTCATCCTCGCCCGCCTCCTGCTCCTCCTACAAGCGCACATCCCTTCTTTTAAGGCCAATGTCTTGTCGCTGGCCCCCATCTGGCCATCTGGGGCACAATGAGACTATCACGGAATTGTGAAGACCCCGGGCCACCTCAGGCCACGTCCAAAGAACAAGAATTGTGTGAACCTGTTCCAAGCTTCTCTGGCTTCTCTGGGTGTAAATGCGCACTCAATGTTGCCTCCCATCCGACAAAAAGCACAAGAAGCGTCAGCCCGCGGTAAGGAAGGCCCCACGAACTTGTCTGCACGCCATCACATATTTGACGTGCCAAAATAGGGAGGCAACCCTAAAATTCTTGCCGTTCCCTTTGGTTTCCCTCTAGACAACCTCTTTGGAAGGTTCCACACTCAGTTTTTAGGGACCAACCCAAGCGACGCGAATTGCCCGGAAGCCCCGCCATCGACCCATGCGGGGGGGGGCGCCTTCTTGCGGCCCTTCGCCAGTTTCTTCGCCAGGAGTTCCTGGCGGAGGCAGGGCTGCGCCTGGAAGAACCTCCCAAGTGGATTCAGGCATCTACTTTTTCACTCGGTCTAGGTTTTCCTTGCCGGCAGCATCCCCACGGGTAGGTCAAAACAAAACTCCGCCAGATTACAAAGGGGAGAACAACTGGAAACGCCATCTTAGGGCTCCAAACCCCCATTTGAGTGCTTCTCACGGCCGGCCCCCTTCCTTGAACCTTTAATGTCTTAGTCTCCTGTCGTTGGGCTCCAAACCCCCATTTGAGTGCTTCTCACGGCCGGCCCCCTTCCTTGAACCTTTAATGTCTTAGTCTCCTTTCGTTTTGGCTTCCCTTTAAATATCAACCGAAGGGACACCCCCAGCCTGATTCACTGCCAAGTGAGTCGCAACCAGCTAGTCCTAGGACTACCCTCCCAGAATTGTGGGTCCATTTGACTCACGCACCCAACCCCCCCCCAACCCCCCCAACCCCACCCCGCCCCGCGCCCCGCGGCTTCACTTCGGAAGTCCTCCAGCACCTTGAAGTGGCTCTCCAACTCCGCAAAGCCCTCCGCGTAGAGCTGGCCCAGCGCCTCGAAAGCTCGGAGCTTGGCACGAGCTAAGCCAGAGCCGGCGAACACCTTCGGGTGCTTGGGGTTTGACAAAGGATGCACCCAAAGTAAGGGAAAAAACGTGAAGGGACCAAAAATGCGACGACAATAGGAGAAAGCTAAAGGTGAAACATGGGCTAGTGAGAAGGTTCGGGGTCCGAACTGGAATGGGCCCCCGAAATCATCCTCCCAGTTGGCTCGTCTGCCGCTTTCTAATCTGTCAGGCAAACTCAGGGTTCCTTGCAGGATGCAGCCAAAAACCGCCCGCTTTTTGTCGGATTTGCAGGGATTCGCATCCTCTAACTGGGTCTATCTTGTTGTGATGGCACTGTATTTTTGGGTGGTTCTTCGGGAAAACCCAAGGAACAACCTCCAGCTGTGAGGGTCCAAATGTTCCGTTTGTTCAGATAAAGCCGGTGATGTGCTGCCGTTCCCTCCGTGGCCTGGACGTCCAAGCCCTCCTTGGGGTTGGCATCCACCTGGCCCGGGGCCGGGCAGTGGGGGGGGGGGGGTTCTGAGATGGAAGGCCGACTCATACGTAGAGCACCATGGTTGGCACCAACAGCTTCATTTCCTCAAGGTAGACTTAAACCCATGGTTGACTCCCCCCTTTACCGCTGGGTTAAGGTTTAAGGGCTAGTCAGAAAATGGAACCCTCTCCCCTCTGAACTTCCGCGCCTGGGCGCAGGCCCCCCGGAACCTCGGCAGCGACAGCTCCTCCCCCGAGGTGGCCAGGTGCAAAGCGGAGAGCTCCTGCGGGTTGGGGGAGAAGCAGCGACCAACATGTCAACGTCTTGAAACCCGATTGAAAGATACGACTACGTATTGTTGAATTACGTGGACAAACCCTAACTTTACTTTATATATACCTTCTTTAGGGCCCTCTTCAGAAGCGTTTGAAACAGTAGCGCCACCTTGTACTTCAAATGTCAAGTATCATTCAATCTGTTGCAAAATGTTACTCTAAATTGTGCATCACCACTACATATGGTCAGCTGAACACATGGCGGCAGGCACCCCTTTCTGGCCTCATGCGACAGGAAGCCGTCGCGATCCTCGTCGAAGTATCGGAAGATCGCCCTCAGTGAAGCTTGCCGGCAAATTCGATACCACCCTGCCATCGAGAGGGAACCATACTGGGGGGATCCTGGTTGGGCCGCCAAGACCCCAACATGGAGCCTGACTGGGGGAAATTCCCTCCACAAGCCCTCTAGTGGACCCGCCAGTTGATGAGAGCCAGCCAAGGTGTGTGCACATTTGTGCGTGCACGCGTCACGCGTTTGCGCGTATTCGAGGCTGCGGCAAGGAAATCTTCCAAACCCCCAAGCACATGTTCCACACAAAGGGAACCTTATAAGGCTCCTTATAAAGGCCGCTTGTAAGGCTCCTTCTCAAAGCCCCTTCTCAAAGCCCCCGCAAGGCTCCTTGTAAGGCTCCTTGCGGGAAGGCGCCGACAGCTCCCCTGAAGCTCCGCGGCGCCCGGAAAACCCGGAAAATCCAAGAGGCGCTGCCCGGATTCGAAGGGGACGCCCGGCCTCACGTTTCGACGTTTGGGGCGCCCGGCGCCAGGCGCTGGCCCGGCTCGGTGATCCGCTCGGTGATCTCACCTGAAACGGAAGCCCCCTGGCTCCACCCCCAGGTTCGCGAGGAAGCGACTTTCGTCAACCCAAAAAACGTAAAATGTTGGAATTCGCAAATACCCTTCTTTCAATCCAATTGTTGTTTTTGTAACCACAATAGAGGGACCAGGAAGAAGGGTACCATCAAAAGGGACAGCGGGAATGGATCTTAAGTGGCTCGACCTTTGGTGGACATCAAGCAACTGGGGGATGTCCCCCAACGATTGTGAGGTGTTCCGACACATGGCGCAAGTAGCGCTGGCAGGTGCTCTCCACTGGACAAAACCCTGCACCAGTTGGACGAAACCCTGTAGTTTCTGGGGTAAACCTTGTGCAGGACTTCATCCATCACAGCATCTTGCCTCTTTTGTTCAGAAGGTGTATCATGTGGATGTTTCAGTCCCTTACCAAAATGTACCTTCTACAACAAAGTGTGTAGGCATGTTCCTGCACGGAAGCCGAGAACCTCCTCCATACACGCGCAAAAAAACTCACACTACAGGCAGTTTCTTCCTTAAATGGCACCGGAAGAATCTGCCAGAATTCACACCTCTCAAAACTCAAGACGAGTTTCTGGCTGGTTTTTGTGTTGAGTAGGGGAAGGACTCTGACTGTAAATCGAAAGGAAACGAAGAGGAAATCGGAGGGAAACCAACCTCAGTTTGGGGGGGGGGGGCGTTCTCCCAATGTTGAGACAACTTTCTGGGTCCTATCTCCAAACCTCCAGTAAATTTAAATGTCCATGAAGAAAAAGGTGGCTTCCTTTTCCTTTGTTGGTATTTGACTTTAAAGGGGCTAAAGGAAACCCCTCCAAAACGAGGAAAAGTTGTTGGTAGGTAGTTGACACTAAAAAGCAACCCCCTCCAAACAAAGCTTCAACAGAAAAAGAGGACCCCCTTTTTTCCGAGGGCCCCGGCGGGTGGATCCCGTGAAGTCGTAGAAGTTTTCGAGCTCCGCTTCCAGCTCCTCCACTTAAACCCCCGCTCTCCTTTTGGCGTCCTTTCAAAACCAACAAGGGGGTCACCCACGAAGGGCCAAAACCTGTTAAACCGCGGTAAGGAGAGCCTGTGGGTGCCGGCCTGGTCAGACCAGGAGTTGGGCAACACACTGCTGAATTCCAGGCCAAATGCCACGGTTGAAGCCGAAGTGCAATCAGGCAATGGCACGCTGCTGAGAAAACCAGGCGTTTCCTCCTATGGCCCGAAAAGGGTGCCGTGTTTGGACAATACCTATCTGCGCAGCTTATAATAGTTCTTACCTCGTCCCTCACTGCATTCTATGTGGATATATATATATATATATATATAGAGATATGCAACGCAAAATTAAGGGTCCACCTCTCACCTCGTATGTCGAAGCCCGAAAATGGATTTGGTGCCCTTTGACAACTTACAACCCTTTGTGCAAGAAATGCCCGCCCACCTACTAGCGTGGCCTTTTGGGGGGTCCGAACGCTGCTCACTTCAATCCCAAGTTCTCTCCTTGGAGCCTTGGTAGTCCACCCTACCGCGCCGCGTCCGCGCTTCCGTGCCGATGCGGGTGTGTGACTTGTCCTGCGACAAGTTATGGGTTTGCCTCATAGGAGGACCCCTTTCTTGCAACCACACCGAACAATGTGCCATCCAACAAGCAAACCCATGTTGGCTTGTCTTCAAAATGGGTTCCTCCAAATGATTCTCTCGGTCCCGCTAAATCAACCAGCAAAATGGTCCCCTTCGAAGCAATACACCCATGTGCGTATGGCAGGTCCCAAAACCAAGAACACCCAAGCCCATTCTGCTTGAGCATTAGTTTGGCTTGGCTGGCAAGAGGTTTGCCCAAACAACCCGAATGCAGAGATAGCTTCTTGCCCTTGCGACGAAGAAGAAGCTGACCCGAGTCCTTCCCGGTTCAATGTGAGCCGTGGTCGAATTCTTTTTCCCCTAGATATACTCAAAGGAGAGGGAAACACAGTTTTGTCAACAACGGGGGAACCCGGGACCTTAAAAGGAACGAACCCCTCCGTGACTGCGACCTCTCCCTTAACCTTGGGGCTAGCGCGGTGCAACGCGCTGTTTTCAGCACTTGAGCCAAAGCAGTGATTGGATCATGCTTTGGCAACCACTTGAATGTACAACATGCAACTGACTACATGAGAACCTACCTCATGTACCTCTGGGCCATAAATGTCATCGTGATAATTGACTCCCCCCTCATTGACGGCACTGAGGGAGTGTCTTGGGCGCATTACCACGCCAACTTGAAGTCAAGTTTACATCACAACGACTGACACAAGTTATTCAAGCATCACCCAGGCACTTTGCACACTTTGGAAATTTTGCAGGCATGCTGCAGCGCACTAGGCAGCTGCTTTAGCGGCTCTACTTTCACGAACGTCTTCAAGCTTCTCTGGTAGGTCAACACGAATGCCGAGCAACCGGATGGCATGGTCCCACTTGTTGGGTGGAAGCGCTTTCGTGAAGATGTCCGCTGACTGCATGTCGGTTTGGACGTATTCTATCGAGATGTGTTCGCTTTCAAGCTGCTCTGCGATGCACGCGAGGTTCACCTTGTGTGTTCGCTGGACACAGCGTAGCTTGGATGAGAAACCTTTCCTTGCTACGAGGATAGTCGCCTGATTGTCCTCGTGGATCTTGAGATGGAATGGTCGGTCCAAGATCAGCTCCCACAAGCTAAGCGCAGGGAGCGCCTCCTGATAAAGGGAGTATGCGAGAGATACAATCTCCGCCTCGGTCGTTGACCGGGAGACCGATGTCTGCCTTTTGGATACCCACGCAAGCGGAAAATGCGTGTGCGGACCACTCAAAATCAAGAATCCTCCGGACGTGGATTTTGCATCTCGCTCTCCGGCGAAATCGGCGTCTACATAAAGAGACAGATGCAAATCCTCAGTCGAATCTTGAACTGTGCCTACTAGCGTGCTGTTGACCGTGCTGTTTATGTAGCAAACAAGCCTATGTAGCTGCTTATCGCAGTTTCTAGACCATTTTTGAACAAATGAGGCAAGGTCGCCAATGGGCTTGACCAGGTCTGGGCGTGCCAAACGGCCGAGCCATAAGGCTTTCATCAACACGCGGCAAGCGGCGAAGCCGAGCTCACCCTCCAAGGCGTCATCTGCAGGATCAAGGGATCCAGCGGGACAGAATGGAGTGGTGGCATCACGCAACTTTTCACTTTTCAGCTGTGCAACCTCAAGATATAATGCTACCGTTTGACGGGCATAATCCCGCATGTCGAACGCCATGCCCCCTTTCAATCTGCCCATTGCGGCATTAAGATCGGGTTCAGTTGGGTCCTTTGGAGCATCTATCAAAAGGTGATTCCTGCCTAGCACCCGGTATATGTCTTCTGGGGGTTCTATATCAACCAGTCTTGTTAACTTTTCCCAGAAGTCTTTATGAAGGTGGCTGGGGCCGGCCAACGTCAAGTCGTCGACGTATGTCGAGAGAAGTAACCCGGACTCCTTGAACCAGAAGTTTCCAGGAAACTCTGCGACCTCACGCCCTCCAAGTTCACTAATGAACCCTTTGAGGTGTGCCTCCCAGAGTCCGCCAGCGTCAGGATGCCCATAAAGAGCTTTAACGAGCAAAACCACAGGTTTCACGAAACGCTCGCGCCACCACCTTGGCCGGAGCTCAGGCGGGAGTGTGATCCAAGTTTGGTACTTGGACTTCAGCAGTGCTTGCACATAAGCCTTTATAGCGTCCGCTGTTGTGGTGGAATTCCCTGGCAGGGATCCATAAGCGAGACAGTTATTAAGACCTTGTACGCTCGTGGGATTTGCTCCCAATTCTTGGTAGACAGCTGCTGCGCCATGTTCGTCTTTCGCACAGTCTCCGCGATACACAATCCTACCTTTCATCTTTTGAAGGTGTTTCGCGAGTTCGGCGAACTTGACGGATGCTAGCGACATCAACTGCCCGAAATGGACTTTTATACTGGATCGTCGCGCCTCAGCAGCGACTTGATCATACTCTCGGACTGAATTTAGATCCCAAGCACCGGCTTTCTCCAGGCCTGTGGCTTCAAGTCGAACGGCTTCAAGAGCTTCCGGGGAAGCCAACATTTCGGCACGTGACAAGAGTCTGGTCACCATTGCGGTGATCTCAGGATCCTTCTTCTCTGTGACTTGTCCTAGGGAATGTGCGATGAGATTTTCAACATCAAGAACTTGCTCAAGAATGTCGTGACACTTTTCATCGGACTCAACAGCAACACCTATATCTTCCAAACCGGAGAGAGGGGATATGTGCTTCAACTGCTGTTCACGTTCCCGGTGATCGAGAGGCAATGGCACTTGGACAGGCATCGCAGGCACAACGGGTTGAACTGTTGGATACAGCGCACGGGCAACTGTGAGACACATGCCTTCGGGGTAGAAAGCGGTCTTTGCGGTCTTGTTACCTGCTGCAAGCGAATGTTTATACCCTTTTTCGTGCGGACACTTGAATGCACCTAGTGCGGATGCGAGTGTGCTATTGCTGGTCATGACTTTCCATGGCTTCTTGATGGGATAGCCATTGCTGTCCTTCAGGCCTAGGGCGCAACCATGGAAGGTCGCTGGGGTGAAGACGTGTGCATATTCTCTAAAGAATGCGGAAACATCATCCCTAGCCCAGCTGTCGCAATCCCTTGGCCACTCAAACGAAACACTACCCCCCTGATGGAGGACAGTCTCTGCGTGACGTCTGAATCTGGAGAACAACTCTCTCGACTCTTTAACCTTTTGCTTCAGTTTCTTTTTGAACTGGCTTCCTAACTTGGCCTTATTAAGGCGTTGCCATGCTGAACCTGATGTACAGGGGATTGCGGCCCAGAGGTTGGGTTTATCACAACCTTCAATCTGCGACTGCAACTGGATTTCTCCTTCATCTGTGCTGAGGTCGATAAACTCTTTAGCCAGCCTAACATGAGGTATGCCAAGACCTTCAAACACGCGACCCATATTGGACTCTGGTGTACATGCGTATTCGAACATCACAGGCAACTTGTCAATACGCGCCTGTTTCTTGCGGGCACGATGATTTCCAACCTCAAACTGCTTGCGCTGTGGAGCTTCAACCTCTGCGCTGCATGGCATGCCGAAAATTGGCAATGTGTTCGGACGACCGTTCTTTGATGCATCGGTGAGAGGTGTCGGCGGTACGGAGTCTAACATCACGGCTGCACCTGTGGTGATAACACAATCGGACTGAATGGGTTTTAACTTGAACACTGTGAACCCGGTCCATGCATCTCCAAGTGAGCGATTGGGTCGGCTACCAAACCAACCATCATGGATGTTGTCTGCTTTGCCCCCCTGAAACACGGCACGAGTGGTGCGAGCTGCAGTAAATCTTTCTGGGGAAACGGGGCAATCCTCGACCTCTTTTGGGGTAAAGAGATTTTGCCTTGGCATGATATGGTATCGGACCAAACAGTTGGCATTTTCTTTGAACACCCAAAAATCTTCACCTTGCGATGTAGCGGCTGTCGCTGGCGCAGTATCGAAAAATGAGCCACCGGGTCTTGAGGGAGCGGGCTCCCCAGCTTCGGCTGCATCAAATTCATGCGCAACATCTTCTGCACTAACTGCGGGCTTAGGATCCTCTCCATGCTCGGATGCGTGGATTGCTCTAGCTAGCTCCTCATCCCCTTCAGTATGCACAATGGGAATGGGTTCCTTAGATTCAGTTTTGGCAGCGCTTTTTGCAGCTGCTTCAGCTCGATCTGCAGAGACAAGTTCGGAGAACCTCTTCTTGCATTCGACACTGTGAATCTTGGAATGACCGGTGCATGCACGGCAACCTGGCGTTTCCTTGAACTTGATGATCCTCTCAACAGTTATGTACACGGATTTTGGTTTGACAGCGGATGGAGTCGGTGGGGCACCAAAGGGCGCCTCTCGCAGGGGCATAGGTGGGGGATCAGACCCTTCTGTCTTGCCACCATGCAATGCTCTATCTGCTGCTGCTGCAATCGGAAAGCTTGGGGTTCCGTCCTCAACGAACAATTCCGGTTCAGGAACATCGTGAACGGAAATGGAACCATCTTTACGGAAGGCTTCATAGTCCATGACTTTGACCACATTACGGTACCGCAACCCCGGATCGACCCTCCAACCCAAAAAGAGCGCTGGCGCCATGTTCGGATCGAGAGTGCGCTTGCCAGGAGTCTTGGTTCTGTACCAAACTAATTGCCCGAAACAGCATCTCTTCCCTTGGAACTTTTCTTTGGTGAGGGCTTCCCATTGGGTTTTCCCTGGGCTGAATGGTGCAGGCCTGTCGAACGACATGGAGAGACATGCAAATGGGTAACTAAACGTATGCAACGAATAAGGCAACCCTGATTGCATGTGGATGCTGCGGCAGCATTCCTTCTCCTCGCGAATGTCGCGCTCCAGAACGGTGTTGTGTGGCCACCTGTTCGGTAAGCTTGTCTCGGGGACGAGACCGACTTCGTGGGCCGCTCCTTCGAGCTCTCCTGCTGCATCCATTTTTACTAGACATGTTGGCGGCGAATCAGTGGCCCGAAGGCCCATGAACTGACGGAAGTTTTTAACATGCGCCTGCGT